CTGGAAGGGCATTAGTAAGACCATTGAGAGCAGATTGACCAACTTGTTCCCAACTATAAAATAGCAGATCAATAGAGAGACATATATTCTTTTCTAGGTCTTACTCAATACGCATTTGACGGAGTTGTGGAACGAATTGGGTAACGATTTGTTGGATAGCTAGACCGAGTGTAGCTGGATTCCAGTTGTTTCCGGCAGCAGCGACAACAGTGGCAAAGAATTGGTTTTGTAATTGTTGAAGTTTGTCTGAGCTCAAGAATTGGGTAACTTGTGGGATGAATTGTTGTAATTGAAGTTTGTCAGCCAAAGCAAGGATATCGTTAAGGTTGATGCGAGCATCAACAGCTTCGCGTTTGCCGACAAGACCAAGTACAATACCGGGAAGAGCGGATGTGGCAGCACCTACAATTTGTTGAAGAATAGCGTCAAAGTCGGCACGGCCTTGTGGACGTGATCCAAGGAATTGTTGAAGAATTGGTCGAAATTTGTCTTTGATAGCGTTGAGATCGAAATTTCCGCCAAGTTGACTTGTAAGAGCTTGAGTGATTTTGTCTTTGAGAGATTGTAATTCAGCTGATGAGAGTACACCAGAAAGTTGAGGAAGAATTTGATCAAGTTGACCAAGAAAACCCTAATACGCAAAGATGAAGATATGAAGTAATTAATAAATAGTGATATGCCCTTGGTTTACTTGAAATTGTGGTAGTAAACTGATAACTGCATTCAAATTGTTAACTTGTGGAAGAAGAAGTTGCCCTTGTATGAAGGCAACACTGACACAAACGAGAGCAAATCCGGCCAAGAGACGCATTTTCGAAGGAACCCCAAAATATGAAATGGGTAGAAATGGATATCGGATGATATTTTTTTCTTTTTATAGTTATATTATTATCTACATTCGTTTTATTTTCACAAACTGACATCAGTTGAGTTTCTCACGCCTTCATAACGTGATTTTTATTGTTTTTTTTCTCATCATTTAAATTGGAGAAAAACATTTATAGAAAAAAGTAAAATCTGTTTGACTAGAAAATGAATCTTATCAAGTCAACGTAGTCCAAGAGTCACTTGTGAATGAAATTATAAGTTAAATATGGCAAATCATGAAGAATCTAACAGAGAATCGATACCGATTTTAGTGTATATAATCGAAGTTAAGGGAACGCTTCATTCGAATATGATAATCTACTATCGTTCATATCTTCTTTAACAGAAAGCCAAAGAAATGAAGTGTTGTTTGCACAGCAGGGCCTTTTTCAATTTCATTTCATCTGATTTACCGACTTTCTTTGTATGTCAACGATTGTATCGTGTCTATTTTATCTATGTCTGTTCTTGATAGCACTATGTAAATGCTCAGTTATATACAAGTAATTCAGATTCTCTAGACAAGATAAAAAAAAAAGTATTCTGACATGATGTTATTCCCTTGGAAAATATGAAAATTTATTCGGGAGCATTTCGACTTGAATTGATTTGTGTTTTAACTAAGTGTATGAGAATGATGTGTAAACTGTTTGCATGTAAGGTCCTACGGTTAGTAAAACCATTATCCTGTCATTAAATCAATGTAGCAATAATAAAAAAAACCACAAACGTATGATCTTGTTAAGCATTTGTGCGTATTGATAAACTTCTTTATTATTAAAATGACTTGTACACAAACGAATGATTTATTCACTGAATATGATTTCGATGAAACATTGTCTGTTTTCAAAACATGTACGAGACGATCTAACGAGGTAAGAAATAATTCCAATCAAGCCAACGTAATCGAAGAGCTAATTCAGAATGTAACCATCTTGGAGAGTGTGCGATATACTCATGTACCATTAAATTTGAATGTGCCAATCCATCGAGAAATTCAATATACGCCAGAGCCAATCGAAGTGTGTCAATTTTCGAGAGACGTTTTTCGTAAGGAAACCGTGGTATATGTGATCGAAGTTCGGCAAATGCTGCATTCAAATGTGATAATCGACGATCGGCCATATCTGTTTTCAACTGAGAGTTAAGTATGACTATTAGAAAGAGGAAAACTAAGGGAATGAACATTGGAGTGTTGCTTGCACAGCACGATCTTTTTCAATTTCATCTCATTTTATTTCTTGACATTCGTTGTCTGTCAATGACAGCAGTTTCTTCTCGACTCTTTTTATCTGTTCTGTAGCATTTTTTCGCTCTCTTTTTCTTTTAAAATAGTTTGATACAATTTTTTGTCTTCAACATTTCTTTGAGCTTTTTTTTTCTGTGTTTATCCGAAAGATTTGTAACTCTAACAGAAAACAAATCTTGTTTTGACAAATGTATCGAGTTCAGTAGTATCATTCGGTGAATGATCAGACGCAATGGCTTTAAACAATGACGCAATTGATTATGATCCGTATGAAATTGTTTGATTTATTGTTCGGATTCAACTGTTTGTGTAGTTTACCAGTGGAGGAAAAGCATAAAGTAGATCTAAACGAGATCAAACAACGATTTTATGATGAAAAACGAGACCCATTCATTGAAATCATACATTTTCAAACATCTATTGAACGAAAACCAACAGAAATCGACGAGTCATCACTACGCGTTCTCAAATATAAATCTCCATCGTTTATGTAAGAAATTGTAGATTAATAACTATTTCAGATGATGCTCTCGAATGTTTCACGAGCAGTGCAACGGCTACATTTCGTTTTCCATCAATACATACAAACGAATGTTGGAAAGTTGGCTTTATTCAAGCATGTGTGTATTTCTCGTCTAGATTCGTTTTGTACAAATAGATTTCTCATTCAAAAAGGTGATCATATGATTTTTCATAATGAATATGGAAATCTTGGCTAGTAAGTAAGTCAACCGGATGAGTGAATTCAAAAGAAAAATTTTCATACTACTTGTATTTCAGTTCATCATGGGAAGTAAGTCTTTTCTTTCGTGAGAAGTTGAAAATTCATGTCTTTAGTTTCCACAATTGATCGATCGTAATGTTTCAATGATAAATGACAGTTGTGGACGGAACTATCCGTGGTATGGATCGAAAAATCAAGGTGAGAATAAGCATTATTTCTGCGAATTTCAATTGTTTTATTTCTTTTTAGTAGTAACGATTCAAGGACCGATCCATCGATCAACTGAATACACGATTAGTATGCGTGATTTATTTGTACCGTGGATTCCATGGTAAACAAAGGTCAAAAGTGAAGTATTTCATATTTATGTGTGATAGGGATATTCCGACGTACGAAGGTGAACAATGTCGTTTGACACATGTTTATCGACATCAACGCTTCTATGTTTGGTTATGTGCGATGAACTGTACAAAGAATGAATTATTAATTATGCGAACGTTGCGTTGGTCGCAAACAATTGAAATTAGTGTTGAACCGAGTTTGAATCGAGGAAAACGAGCAACTCTGATCAGCAATTCTCAGCCAGATCAACCGATACTTCTTAAAAGAAATCTCCTGATTCCTTCTTGTGCTTTACAAGAACCATCAGTAGAAGAATTGTTTTCATCGAACATTTCAATTTGATTTGTATCGCTTCTTAGGCAAATAATGCACAATTATTGATTTGGAGACCAACTGACGGCTATCCGATTATCGTCGTTCATCCGAAACATCGCGATTCAGGCACAACTAAATATCTATATCAGCATTGTCAAAGGAAAGCAACCATCAAATAAATCCTATTGGTGTTTTCTTTGTGCAAATGGAAATGTTTCTATCGTTTATTCTATGTCTTCGTTTAATATTGACTCAACAGATAGTTTTTTTCTGAAATCTGATCGTTAGTTTCTCGTAATAAATTTTCTTAAGATGATACAATGAAAGTAAGATTTGACTTGAAGAGAAATCATTGGCTCATTGGATCATGTGTCATTGGTGGAGGTCAAGTTCTACCATCATGGCGACAAAAATCAAAAAGATTAAATTCGATTCGCGAGAGCGACCAAGCGCGTTGTTGTATTATTCTTTCAGAAACAATCTCTTTAGTTCTGTGTTCGAAAAAATTCATCAACAGAAATCCCGTTGGAAAACGATATCGAGTCACTTTTTTAGTCAATTTCGTATCGAAAAGTCATCTGACGACCTCTGTTCTATATATAGTCCATCTTGTCTTTTGTGTTCAATAAGAAAGAACGAAAGAAAGAGAGGAAGAATATATCAGAATTTCTCATTTTAGATGCGAAAACGACGCTTTCAATATTCGATTTGTTTTATTTTGTCGCCAATTCGACTCTTGTTTATATGACCTCTTGTAAGTCGTGTATCATCAATATTTTTGATCGATGACACATTTGTTCTTTTAGTTTATCATGATTATTGAATAATAATTCTTAGAAAATCCAAATGTCTTACGAATCGACGAAAACAAGTGCAAATTCATCAACTGGTGAAACGATGACGACTGATATGCCATCACAACCAACAACAAACAATAGTTTTTATCCAAATAGCAATACAAATAATAATAACAACAGCAGCAATCATCGAACGCAAGCCATGATAATGAATCCAATGATGGGTACTACAAATTATTACAATGGACCAACACAAGGTGCACCAAATCAACAAGCTCACATGGCAAATCGTGCGATATACCATTCGTATCCATCGGGACCTCCACATCATCATCAAATTGTAAGTTTTTGTTGGATCGTTCATTTTGTTTTCTTCTTTAAAAAAAAAGTAAAATCTAAATGAGTAAATCATGTTCAGCTATCGCCATTCGATATGTATGACTTACGCACAAATGCATATTATTCCTCATATTCACATGACACTGGTGTTTATGACCACCAGCCAGCTGTAGGAAGAACTTATTATGGACATTACGGCGAAAATCAAGTTGAGGTAGTGCACCTATGTCTGATCGTGTCTATTATTCATATCCCTTGTTCTCGTGTCTGCACGTTTCACATACAATGCTGTTGTTTTCATTTGCATATTGAACAATCAATAACATGGAAATTTCTTGTATTTTAGTCATCACCTTATCCTGTGAAAGACGGTTCAACAACAAACAATAATAACAATACAGATATGGTAAGTCCTACAACGAATGACACTGAACATGATGAGAAAGTGCGAGAGGAAAATGTGTAATGATATGATAATCAACTAACCTCGATTTACTTTTTCTGTTCATGATCATTTGTCTCATGTTTTTATTTTTGTGTTTGTGATGTCAAGAGACATCAACTTCCTTGGTAGATTTTTTTTTCTTGCTTTCATCTCAAACAGCTGATCTCATTGACGCCCGTAGATGTATCGAGTGTTCTTTAATTGGACATTTACAAACGAGAATAGAGGCGGAGTGAGAAGATTGGCACAAGAGAAGAAGAAAAAAAAAGAGAGATATGCTTGATTTGTAGAAATGAATGAAGTTGCGAGTAAATGTGTAAAGAGATTTTCATTCATCATCATCTGATCGACTTACATATAAAACGTGCGTTTGATTGACAAGTTGTTTCTGTCTTTGTTGTAAATATAAAACGAGACAAAGAAAACAAACCAATCGTAAATACTTCGATTATGACTGAAGTATAGAGAAACAAATTTTATTTTATTTTTTTTATTATTTTAGAATGCCACTGATTCAACGACAGCACCACCACATGATCAACAGCTACAGAGTGGTAATATGCCACTGCCAACGGCACAAACGCCATCAGGTAAAATTGCATTGATGAGAAAAAAATCAAACGCTTTTTATGTGTATATTTCACACTGAAAGAAAAGATGCGAATCTGTTCATTGTCGTCATTACTTCTGTCCTTAGTATTATGTTATTGCTTTCCAAGAGTAAGGAGACTGTAAACTGAGAGCAAATTTTGTGCGTGTAGTTTTATATTCAATTATTCTCTCCTTTTTGTCAAATATTTCACATGATTTTTCGTGTTTGCGTGCTACTACTTTGTTTCATTTACACATGTTCCTTTCCAATAACTGAATTACGATAAATTTCATTTTAGGAAATGGTAGCGGCTATAACAATCCCTCCATGATGCCTCCACCTCATTTAGCTTCAAAGCAACAGCCATATCCTAACTATCCACAACAACAATCAGGTTTGTGCAGATAAAAAGAGACGGTTTTTCATTTAAGTTCTCTTCATCTTTCATTTGGCCTGTTTCTGCCTTCCTCATCATCATTATTATTGTCCTTTCTTCGTCGTCGACGTCCTCGTCGAGCCAATGTAATGCAAAGAACATAGTCGTTCTTTTTTGCGCGTTCTACTTTTCCTTCTTGCCATGCATTCATCGACGACGACGACGACGGGCAGGCAGGCAGGCTGGTTGCTTGCTTGATTATTTTCCTATTCCCTCTCCTCTTCGCGCATGCGAACAAACGAACGAGCGAGCAAGCAAATGTGCGCTCGTTCTTTAGCCTCGAAGAAATGAAACAGCAAGCAGCAGAAGCATCAGCAGTACAACGAGATGTTATGTGCGTATGTGTATGCGTGTATGTGTGCCTGTCATTTACCGCCATCGCTTCGCACACTCACATATATTGAAAATAGAATAGTAGCGACGACGGCCACTACTATTACATAGAAGAGCTTCATTCTTTTCTTTTTCTTTTCTCTTCTCTCCTCTCGTTTCGTTCGTTTATTACACTACAAGCGTTGTACTCTATGCGAGCATCTCATTGATGATTACTAGATGCAAGCAAAATTGAACAGCGCCACATGCACAGCTAGTTTGATTGTATTTTATTTTATATTATAGGTGACATGTACAGCAGAACATCAAATACTAGTAGTACACCTCAGTATGTTCCTCAATATTCACAGTATCCACCAGGTGGTGCACCGATGATGAATCCACGATCACCAGCGCCAAATACGAATGCATATCGGCCATCGTATTCATCGGGATCTCCATATCAAAATGGAGTAGCTACATCATCGTCACCTTCATCAACACCATCATCTGGAAAATCTACATCTCGTTCACAACAACTTTCACCCAAACGCTCAAATACACAACCAACGACACCACCTGCGCAACAGTCACGTTATCCATCTCCATATCCAGCATATTCAAATGGACCAGTTGCATATAAACCGGGCGGTTCCAATGGTTATGTACAACCACCACCACCTCAACAACAATCATCATGGCCTCCACAAACACCACAACGTGATGCTGTTACACCAGGTCTAGCAAGTAGTACAGGTGATTCAGATTCGAATTCAAGTAATGCGTCACAACAGCCAATGTCATATCCACAACCACCACCACCAATGACCAATGGTCCAACTACAGGTAGCTATCCACCACAAGTGTCCGCATCCTACAATGCGAGTAATGTTGGTGATTCTAACAATACTAATAACAATATGCATTCAAGTGGACATGGTTACATAGATCAACAGTATTCAAATATGCCACCTCAGAATTATGGATATCCTCCACAACAAATGAGTAAGTTGCCTTTAGAATGAAATAAACTATTTCTGTTGATTGCTCTGTTTAGATCCATATAATAGCCATCCCCAACAGATGCACGGTGCACCAACGAATGAATTTCGTCCTCCACCTGTACAATCAATGGATGACGAGAACAATGGTTATCGAAACAAATCATCAGCTGGAATGACCGCCGATCAACAACAACAAGCACATTCTTCATCTATTCTTCCTCCTTCGTCAGCTTCATCTCAAGCCCAATCAGTGTCATCTTCCACTAATGGACCAAAATCACCTAGTGGAACGAGCATGTCATCCTACGTTCCTGATGAGGGAGACTCAAGTAATTCAAGTTTTCCAGATAGTCCACCACCCTCGCACGAAAAGGGCCAACAGAAACGTAAACTTTCGTCGGGAACATCGAATTCACACAATACACCGGTCGAAGTATTCAATAAATTACGTGAAATGGGTGAAGAATCGGAACGACAAGACCGTAATTTATTTGTTGAACGTTTACAAAAACTTTGGGAAGAGAACCAAATAGTATGCCGTAATCTACCGACTATATCGAAGCAAACGATCGATCTTTATCGTTTGTATACATGTGTACGTGAACAAAACGGCTTTCAAGAATTTTCGAAAGTAGCAAAAAATCGACATTGGCGCGATATAGCAGCAAAATTAAACATTCCGAATTCATCAAGTGCAGCTTTCAATGTTAAACAAAAATATATCAATTTGAAATTATTCCACTATGAATGTAAATATGATCGAGGTGGTATCAATCCTGAACCTATCCTGTCTGAAATTGATAAACCGCAAGGAAAACGTTCGAAGACACCTAAGAAATCATCTAGTAATAGTGGGTCGACAGCTAATAATCTTAATGATAGTACTACTGATAATAAAGTACCATCCTCACAAGTACCTTCTCAATCTCAACCACCCGGTTTATCTTCATTACCGCCGCAACAGCAACAGCAGCAGCAGCAGCAGCCAATGCCACAACAACCTATGCAAGACCCTTATCGTGGTTATCCACCACCACCACCACATGGACATCCACATCAAATGGGCCATCCACAACAACAACCACAGTATCGACCGATGCAAATGCCCATGCATCCGTACGGTACAACCGGTAATGAAATGCAATCACCGTATGATCCATCTGCAGGAGGACCGATGATGTATAATAATTCCGAGATGGACTATCAACGTACAGGTTATCCAACTCCACCTGGTCAACCACATCCTCCACCGTCACAAATGATGAAACCACCGCCACCCAATGCCTACGGTATGCCATTGCCACAGGTTCAACAACCTCCGGGACCAATGCCACCGCAACATCGACTACCAGGACCATACCCATCGATTGCTTCGAAACCACAACAGCAACAGCAGATGGGTGCTCCAGCACAAGGAGATTATAGTGCTCCACCAAATCAACAAGCTCCACCACAATCAGCTGGACCTCAACAGACATATCATTATCAACCTCAACAACCCATGCCAAGGTATGAGAGCAAAAATACTTCCCATTCTCACGTCGAAATAGTTCTTATCATCACATTTATATGTGCGTGTCTATTCTATATCGTTTTTTATTCTGTTCTTTCTAGTCCGTATCCACCATCCGGTTACCCACAACAACAAGCTCCACCACGTACACAAATGATGGGTGGACCGCCTCAATCACACGATCCTTATTTATCGCAACAAGTTCCACCTAATCAAACATATCCGAATCAAACACCACCCAATTATATGTATAAAAAGCCGGAAACTCCATCAACAACCGACGCCTCCAATCTTGATGGTCAAGATTCCAACAAAGGAAACAAATTACTAATCAATCAACTTCGTGCTTCATCTTCAAATACATCTATGCTATCAACAGCAACTCCAATTTCAATACTAACTAATTCAACATCCACTACATCAAATTCGACTCTAACACCAACAACTGCATTGCCTACAACTAGTTTTCCACCTAATTCTGTCGAAGCAACAACTTTACCTGTAAAAATGAAACGCAAAAAATTGACTGGAAAAGACGTCAGTACGTATCCGTTATCTCTTTCTTCTCTCCTTTGTTCCTAAAATTTCAATATTTATTTATTCGTTCGTGTAGTGCCAGTCGATCCATGGAAATTAATGATGTCCTTACGTGGTGGTTTACTAGCTGAGACGACTTGGGCGCTGGATACAATCAATATAATGCTATCTGATGATCAAACTCATACACACTTTCGTTTAAAACAAATGCCTGGACTATTACAAGCAATTGTTGATATCTATGTTAAATGTTTAACACAATTATTCGATGAATTTCAAAACTCGCCATCGAATATCGAAAATCAACAGCCATCATTAAATGATTTGAATGGTTCATCACATTTGACATGTACAACAATAAAAAAACATGAATATCGTCAACAACAAGAATCGATCATTTATCGCGTAGAATCCAATTCTCTCAATCGATATAAACGGAAATACCACAAAGAACAATCAGTCGTCTATGATCGTGTTTTTGACGAGTATGGCATCGAAAAGAAAGATCCGACTTATGTATGTCATTCTTTGATGAAAATCCTTCCAATCGATATATTTTGTCATCTTTATAGGCTTTGGATCTTCAAAACACCGATGATTTATGTGCCATCAGTACTCACTTTGATCCATTACATCTCGATGACAGTTTTTATGAAAAACTTTATTATGGTAATCGATCAAATGAGATTTCATTAGACGAACATGATCACACCTCAATGACAAAGTCTTCAAACAGTTTACGCAAACGTATGAAAACATCGGAAGATGAGCTCGATCATGAAGAGTCAACACCAATGGAAAACTCGACGAATTGCCACCATCGTCATAACTCCGATTCTCTAATGGAAATTTCAGATGGTAATAAAGAATTTCTCAAGCGTTATAAACGAAAGTTCGAATACGATGAACAACAAAATTATGAACTCTATTCGGGTATTTGTGCATCATCATCAACAAAATGTAATCAGACAAAAGAATTTGATTCATGTTCCAAGTCAAGTGATCAACAAGAGAATGCGTCAGCATTGTTTACATATCACTCGCTTGCATATGATCAAATTTGTGCACGTTGTACATGTGTATCATCAATTCTACGTAATCTCAGCTTTATCATGGGCAATGATATTGAATTAGTGAAATGTAAAACATTAATTGGCTTACTAGCTCGTCTTCTTTTACTCAGGCATGGAGTTAATCATAATGATCTGTCAGATAGTCAAACATCTCTTCATGAAACAGTAAATGATGATCAATCAAAAGTAAGACGCAGAGAAACGAAACTTTCGATTACATATGATATCTAATTTGTTTTTTTTTTATAGAATTCCGATTCGAAATCATCGGTACCTTCATTTTCTTGGACAGAATGTGTTTTGAATATTCGTGAAAATACTCTCGTTACATTGGCGAATATTGCTGGAACACTGGTTCTCGATACTTTCGACTCGGATTTGTTGTACACACTAATCAATGGTCTTTTACATTGGTCAACGTGTTATTCTGGTGAAGCTATTGATTATTTAAATTCGTCGGTTATGTCAGCTCAACGTTTAGCAATCGAAATCCTCACAAAATTGAGTGTTCATGAAATGAATATGGATTTCATTCTTGCTACACCACCATTCTATCGAATTGTTTCATTATTTCATGTTTTAACCGATTGGTTAATCGTTGACGAAATTGGGGGTGGCATTTCCAACTGGCATCCACCATCTTTAGCATCATCAACACATTATTATACGAACTATCCTCGGCCACAATCACATATTCAACGTGAATTTGCTATTGTTCTCTTGAATGCATTAGTACGCTGTGATTCATTGGCTACGAATGTCGTCGCTCATATCCCATATGCGATATCATTATTGATCAACTTTCTCGAAGATTATGAAATGAAAACTAATGAATTGATGGCACGTTATGGTCCTGATTATATTATCCGTTTGACGACTCAACCATCGAACGCTCAACATGCTGAACAAATTTTATTTACCACAAGTGATATGTTAAAACGTGCAGCCACATGTTTACTTTCGATTGTTAGTTATACGGATAATATCAAACTAATGAAACGATACGAAGATCGAATCTTGAACTTGTCAACGTCGCATGTAATTGATTCAAATGTTGGACGGACTCTTACAGATGTTTTGCACTATTGTTCATTGCACAACAGTTGATATGTTTCTCTCTTGCTCTCTATTTCTTCATATGTATAGTCTCTACTTTGTACAGATTCTTCCATTCGCTCTCTTGTTTGTTTGGCCTTAGTATTAGAAGAAAACCAAATCTGTTTACCAAGACAAAAAAATCCAATGTACACTTTTGAATGAGCACGAGAAAGGAAAGACAAAGAAAAACGAGGAAATCTTTGAAAATATCTTTTGTTGTTATTATTTCTTATTTATATCCTTCTTGTATGTGTACATTTTTTTTTTGAGAAATGTATTTTTGTGTGGTCATACAAATAACGTTTACTTGATCTTATGGATGGATGTTGTGTATGTATGTTCTTTCTCGGCCTAGTACTACTCTGCTCTATTTCTTTTCTTTTTCATACATACACGCTCCGTGTTCGATTGTTTGTTTGCTGTTCTATATCTTTCTCTCCTGTCTGCTCTGCTGTTTTTTAAAACACACTGACTCTATCTTTGTCTATCATTCTTTGTCACTCTCTGTTCTTTTCTCTTCATTTTCTTGCTGCGACGAAAAATATATAAACACAAGATGTGTCAAAATGAATGTCAATTGTTATATCGAGCGAAAAAAGTACCAGCTGGTACTACTCAACAAGAATACTAGACGGAATTATGAGAATATTCAAGGATAATTTCAATATGATTTTGTGAGGAACTCTATTAATTTACTTAATTAGAGGATTGTTTGAGAATAAATCATATTTAACAATATGCTATATGTATAAATCTACTGATAATGACCTCAATTGTCTACCAACAGGATTCTCCTATTCTTTTTCTTTCGTTCTGTTATGATTCACCCGTCCGTTCTAAACTCTCTCTTTTCTTTTCTTTCTTTCTCTCTTTTTTCTTTCATTTTCTCGTCTCTTCTCGAGAGTGTTGACCGTGTGAACACGCATTGTATACAATCTCGAAGTTCAATTCGAATTTCTGCGCCTTCCTTCCATATTCTTCATCATTCGTCCTATTCGCTTGCTTTTATCGAAGTGATAAGAAATTTCAACCCAAGGGATTTACATATTTCGCTTTTTTTTCCTGACGATGATAAATAAACAGAGGTCACATCACACAAACGTGTGTTTGTGCAAACAACAGCAATAGATTAGAACGTTCATTGAGACAAGTGTGATCGGACCTGTTGTATTGAACTGTTTTCTTCAGTAATCGATCGAATTTCAAAGGTAAATGATTACACAGACAAATATATACATTTCATCGTACTTTGTTCTTCTAGTCAGATTGACTCATTTCGCTCTCTTATTTTTCTCGAAATCGTGTACAGAGAGTATGCTGAAGAAAGAGAGGGGAGATGATGTATTGCATTTTTTTTCCTTTCGTTAAACTCACGCAAATACTTCGTTTATCAAGGATAAAAAGTACGTCGTTCTATTCTACGAACATTTTTTCTTCACCAACAAAAAAACAGACATACAAAATCAATTACTTGTTGATTATCTAGATTTCAGATAGAATGATTTCTACCTACTGCTTTGTATTGCTATTATTCACTCTATTCAATTCTTCATGTAAGTTCAATCTGATGAAAAATTTTCGAATCCGCTTTCGTTTTGAATGTTTAGATTCATTACAGTCTGGTTACACATGTGAAACATCGGTTACATTGAAATGTCCCGATGAATCGAAATTAGTTATTTTAGAAGTGACCTATTCATCTGAATGTCCAAGTTTAAATGAAGAAAAGGAGGGTGGGACACTGTATGCTCCATCACGTTGCATTGGATATCGTCGTGATGTTGTAAGTCGTTTATGTAATGGACAACAAACATGTACGATTGATAATAACCTGACTCAAAGACCATCGTTTATCGTTGGCAAACAGGCAAATTGTGCGTTTACAGGACAAAGTATTAATGTCGATTATTCATGTGTACCAGGTATGAATCAATTTGATTTTGAAAGTAGTACATGAAGTTAGATTTAGATTTTTATTCGAGTAAATTACCTCGAATTGATATCTGTTCGTTACAATCGTTACATGATGTGAACGAAGGATTTATTCATACTCCTAATTATCCAGGAGGATATCCGAATAGTCGTACATGTTCAAAAACAGTTCCATCACCACCGGAAGGTCATCGGTAATAACTTCCTTCTCTTTAAGGCAAAACCTGATTCACCCATGAATGATGTGTTCTTCAGATTGAAAATTTATGCATTAGATTTCGATGTTGAAGGTCTGAGTGCTCTTCGATTATTTGGCATTACCCGTATCAATGATTGGTTACAAATTAATAATAGTGGAGAGAAGATGTATGGTAGTCGGCCACCATATACACCGATATTTGACGATGTTATCGAAGCCTCCTTGATGTTCAAGTCAGACTTCGCTAATACCAAACGACCGTACAATGGTTTCTTACTTTATTTTATCAGTAAGCGAAGAATTCGAACTGAGATCGAGCTGAACTAATTTTATAAACATTTAGTCACACCACTTCGTGTTGCTCCTCCATCAACAACAACGGCAGAAAAAGTTTCATCGACAACACCAGCTATTCTTTCCAATGATGAACTGTTAACCTCATCCGTTGTACCACGTGGTGCTGCGCTGATCAGCAATGATCAACGTTCAAGTAAGTTTAATCATCTGAAAATAGCAAGATTAAGTCAAATGCGTCTATTTAGATAGCATTGGCATGACTTTACTGGTTGTTGTTCTATCATCAATACTTTTTATTATTCTCTGTGCATTTATACTTTACAAACGGTAGGATTAACAAAGTGTAATTAACATTTATTTTCATAAATGTTTCTTCTTATTTCTAGTCGTAATGATCGTCGAGTTCGGTATTTAACTGATACATTCAATGCATTCTTTCCTACTCGAACAAAAAATGTCTCTCTTAATACAACAGATGTCAGCGATGAAGTTACATTGAATACGACAGTTCAATCGAAACTTGATGTTTCATCTGTATCAAATAATGAGAAACTTAAAAAGATGAATAATTATGAAGCAGAATACGTTCCTCCATCGATATTGAAACATGTGAATATTAATGAAAGACGTGATAGCCAAGAGAAACAAATTTTCATCGAAAATCTTAAGACTTGTCCATCACCATATTCATCCTATCGTCGTTCGGAACGTAAATTCAATACTAAAGAACAAATCGATACCGAAGCAGATCAAAATTCGAATATCTATTCTCAAGATCCTTTAACTCAAATCAAGAACGAACCAAAACATGATAATAACTCTCTTATTTATGAAGATGTGGATTTGAATGCACCTCAACCAACGAATGAACAGGAAGATGTTATTTATGATGTCATTAATCCAAATAATGAACGAGTAGTTGAACAACAGGAATGCGAATACGAATCGCCAATGTATGCAACACCAAAAAATGCATAATTTATCCATGTGAAGTTAATCTTCTGGAGCAGATTTATACACGTAACTGTCTGTGTTCGTTTTTTTTTGTATATAAATCCTAACACTTCGTCTACTTATTCAAGAGAGTGTTTTCTTTCTCTACAATTTCGTTTTCTTTTTGATTATTCGCAGACGTTTCTCGTAAAATTCTGATATACAGTTTCTTTTTGTCTAATGAATTTATTCTGTCAGTTTTTTTTGTTCAATATGAATTGTTAAAATTTACTTATCTAAGCAGTCGCTTTATCCAATTTCATATTTTGACCATGCGTATCAACGATAATTTGCATGAATTACTTCTTTTAAAGATGGTTGAGAAAGAGAAACAGGTGGTGCTGGTTTACTAATGAAATTGTAATGATAGACAAGAATGAATGTGACTTGTTCTGTTCGATAATAATTACTGACAGATTGTCGTAAAAAATGTTTCCATTATTTTGCTTTCTTTCTCTATGAGGGGATATTCCGATGTTGTTAGTTGTAACGAAGAATAATGTACAAAACAATACTTAACAAGTATATATAAATAGACACAGAACAAAAGTTCTCTTTGCTTTTGATTACTCGATGATTAACTTTCGTTGTGATAGACAATAATTGATGATGTGAAGTTTTTCTAAAGTGTATTTATGGTAAATTTCATTTTGAGAAATCTAATAAAAGGTATTACCGTGATCGAGTGACATCTAGAGTGAATAATTACACAACCATTCTCGCTCGTCAACCTATAGAGCCATAGAAGTCACGTTGATGTCGATTTTTTTCCTTTTCCATTCTGTTCTGTTGCAATCCATCCGTTTATATCCTCATCGATGAAAAATTGTTATTGTGTATTTTCTTGAAATTGTTCAAAGGAAAACTCACTTGATTTATTTCCTTCTAGTTTTGTCTATGACAATATTATCATTTGTATTCTATAACAGCAATGAAACGAAGGTCCAATTTCGACAGCGTCAAAATACGCAAATCTCCTCGACGTTCACGTCTCACTGATGGGATATATGGAAGGTAATTGAGTAAGAGTTGCTTAAATACAAATATTTGCTGTTTTCAATTGTAGTGCTTTCATGTATTTGAAATTTGTTTGTATATGGGGTATTATCATGGCAGCTGACTTTTTATTAGAATTTCGATTTGAATTTCTTTGGCCGTTTTGGCTTGTTTTACGAAGTATTTGTGATTCATTTAAATACCAAGGATTGGTTAGTTGATACTAAAACAAATTGTCTCACGCAATCTGATGCTTTTCTTTATTTTAGCTTTTCTCAATCTTCTTTGTATTTATCGCATTCGTAACCGATCTGACATGCTATATATTACTACCAGTTCAATGGTTGTTCTTTGCTGCAAGCAGTTATGTTTGGATTCAGTACGTTTGGCAAACAGGTAAAATTGGACGTTTTAGATTTCGTAAGACATTGTCAATGATTTGCAATCGATTAGAACGTGGAATCTGTCTTGGTACAGTTGTTCTCTGGGTGCTTTTCGTTTGGCTTGAAGCATCAGTACGATTACGTGAAATCAAAACAATTGATCTCTGTCGACCATTTGCTGCACATTGGTATGAATTCTGTCTTGAATGTTCTGGAAAATGATTAACATGTGTACATTGTTTAGTATCGGCTATCCAATGGTAACGTTAGGTTTTGGTTTCAAAACATATCTTGCCTACAAATGGCGTTTGGTAAGCAAGATTTGTTTCATGTTGATTGACTTATCGGTGTTTTTTAACTATAGAGAAAACAACGTGAAGTACGAAAAGTAAATGAAAGTTACATTCAATTGATCAATCAAGCATTACCAATTGAAGTCCAACAAGAAGCTGAAAAAGAACGATTAAGTCGTGAAAAGGGTTAGTCATCATCATTTATCCACTTGATTCTATCTTTCTCTTTCTAACAGGTACATTTTCCGAGAATTACGATGATGTATCTCAACCTTCAGCAGATGGAAATTGTTCTTCAACTTCTCCGACATTGTCGACCGTTGTTATTAATTCTAGTTCAAATTCCTTATCAAATAATTCAACAGTTAATAATTCCCAGCCCCCATCATCAACATTTTGTATAGTTTCCAAACGTTCATCGAAAAATAACCAGCCCGATGGATTATCTTCGTCCACTTCAAACACATTTGTACAGTCAGCCACCCGAAATACTAAAATGCATTCAATAACAACCACTCTACCGACAACGAATGGACACGATGACAGTTCTTCTTCATCTTATAAACAACAAAAACCAAATTCAACTCTAAACAATGGTAATAGTCAGCCGCAGAAGAAACAGTCACAGAAATCTTCGACAACTTCAATAGCAACAACAACGACGGCACAAAGTCGTCGACAATCGAAAAAACAAGAATCACTCCAAACAGTATCACGAGATTCTTCAGCGTCACATGTAAATGGTTTCGGAACAAATGCATCAATTGACAATTCAGATGCAGATAAAGAGTAAGTCAAAAGAAAACGAAATGTACTTCGTTCGATGACTCTTTCGTGATTATGTTTAGTCTACAAATCAATAAACTGGAAGCTGATGTTCAACGTTTGAATCAAGCTGTTGAAAAACAAAAAACATGCGAAATGCAACTACGTACACAAATTTCTGATCTAAAGAATATTCGGAAAGATCTGGAAGACGTTCGTAATGAAAATAGCGACATCAAAACAAAGTTTGTTGATGGATTAGATGTTTTCTGATAGGTAGAGAAAAATTTTACTCATTTTCTTAGATACGACGCAGTTAGTGTTCAACGTCAACGTGATAGACAGCGGATAACTGATCTCGAACGAAATTTGAACGAGGAACGACAAAATCGACAACGTTTAGATTCACAAATCAGAACAGAGAAAACATTAACCAAGAAACTTCAAGATGACCTAGCAAAACTGAGTTTAACACCTATAAAGTTCGTTTTTTCCGCTCACCTTTCTTCTAACATTCACTTCATCTTTCTAATTCTAGAAATGAATGTACAGAACAATGTTTAAAACGCAAACGTGATCTGGAGAATGAAACACGTGAGATTCGTCGACTACTCAATGACAAAGATGAACGAATTAAACTATTAGACAATGAAATCAAAGTATAAGAAGCAACTTCCTATTAGATTCCATCAACATTCGTTTTTTTTTTCTTTTAGGCTCTGAAATATCGTGAATCTCAAACTGACACCGAAGTTCTCTATCAGCATTTAGCACAATTGCAAGAGAGCAACACTATCTTACAGGACCGTCTCAGTGCAGAAACTCGAATAAAACTTGATCTCTTCTCTGCACTTGGTGAAGTTCGACGACAACTTGAAATTGCCAATAGTTCGTGCATTTGAAAATCCTCGAATTTCGTCTTTATCGTCTTTTCCTTTAGATACAGTTCGAGAGAAAGAACGCGAGCTTACCGCTGCACTACAATCTCAGAGCAATTGTATATTTAATGGTCATCCTCATTCTGGACATTCATCACCAACACATCAGTTGATTGATACAAACAACAATCCGACAACAGCGACTCCATCATGTTCATCAGCTTTGTTCTATCCTTCGACAAATGTCACACCACCACCATTGCAAAACGCTGCATCGGGTCTCGATCCGAATGCTCAAGATTTCTGTCTAGCAACACATTCGACAAGCAATAATTAAAAGCAAGAAAAGACAAATATTGACTTCGATGAGATTTTCAAAACAATGACAACAGCCAGTTCTATTTTTCCAACATTATCATCCTGACGTGTTCTTCTTTTGTCTCGTTCTCTTTCTCATTTCTTTCCTGGATTGATGTTTATCCTTGGTCGTTGATATGTATTTGTTTGTTTGTGTGCGTGTGTGTGTATACATTGTGTTATTTTTCTCTTGCTCTATTTAATTAAAGATTGAAAAATACCGTTTCCTTTCACGCATTAATATCATGATTGAAAACATCTCAGTTGTTCTCTCCCTCTCTCTGCTCTTTTTCTATATGTATTTTTTGTCTATGTATCAAAGATCATCATGGTCGTTGTCGTCTGTTTTGTTTGCATATACAAGAAACATATTCAAATAATTGACCATGTTTATGGTGAACTAGTATTCTTCATCTTTTATTTCAACATTCGAGCGAAATATGACAACGTTGTTCGAGGAATTCACTTGATTTTTATTCTAGATCGAAGTGATGAATCGAAAAGTGAAATTATTAATACCAAAAGATCGAGGCGAATTAATTCCTATCTTTTTCGTCGTCGTTCTCATCCTTGTCTATGTGACTTTCGAATTGTGTGTTATCTTACCGACAATCTACAATAACATTTTTACTTATAAAGAAATCTGCCATCTTATCTTCGGCTTCTATGTAATTTTTAATTTAATTGGCAATCTATTCTTATGTATGGCGACAGATACATCAATAGATACAATCATTTGTCCTGTCTTATTACCAGCTCCGACAGTACATACATCAACAAATTCTCAACAAGACATGCTTTTTTATTACTGTAATTGGAGTTATTGTCATCAATGTGAAGTTAATGTTCCACCACGCTCACAGCATTGTCATTTGTGTAAAAAATGTGTTCTAAAACGTGATCATCATTGTTCATTTCTTGGCCGATGCATTGGCTTTCGCAATATTCGTTATTACATGTGTTTTCTCGTTTGGACATGGGTAATTTTTTCCTCGTTGTTCTTCAGATAATTCCGAAAACTTTGCCATTCCTTTTCAGATTGGTCTAGTCTACTGTAATATTCTTCATATGGACTATACTTATGAACTTGTTGGCAGCTTTTCATGGCGTGTCATTGTTGGTAAGTAAAGATTAGCTAAACATGATAGATAGCCTAAAAAAACATCAAAAGGAAATTATGTAGCGTTCTATTGAAGAAGTCTGTGACCTATTTATGTATTACTTATGTAAACATCTTTGTCGTTTGACTAATCAAAGAGAATTTGTTCGAAGAATAAATGAGAAAACATATGTGAATCGCGACGTTCTTCTTTTTTTTTTCAGCATGTCTTTTCCCATTTGGTGCGTGGCTATTTCGTGTACTCGATCACTTCTCTCTTCTCTTATCATTTATTTGTTCAACGTCACTCGTTCTCAGTCTCTACATTCTTTTCTTAATTATTCAACAATCGTATTTGATCATCAATGGTCAAACATGGCACGAGTATGGCAAAAATATTCAGATATACAATACTTACAAAAATCTTCAATCAAATATCGAAATCGTCTTTGGCAAACGATGGTTTTTCGTATTCTTCTCACCTCTTGTCTCATCACCACCATTAGGTGATGGAATGACATTCGATACGACAATGGGCGATGATTCCGGTGATATACGACGAATGGGAATGAAACGAACATAACATTTTTCTTGTATTCAGTCAAAGATCAAAATAGTTTTTGTAAAATTCTTTTCTGTGTGTACTCCTTCACCGTAAAGACTAGAGTTCGGTAATCCTTTTTTCTTCTTCAGATGTCTCTTCCAGGTTCGCAACGTGTGACAGGTACCGATGGAAGTGATTTCCAACATCGTGAACGTATTGCTCCACATTATCGTCTCAGCGCAGAAACCAAATCGCGTCTTCGCTTACTAATCTATCTTCATTGTCTTCTTGGTATTCTGGTCTTTGCTCATATCTTCACATACCATGTACCTTTCATTACCTCACTCACTATCCCACGTCCGCATCTCTGGCAATACATCTGGTTAATCAGTGTGATTCCGGCAATATGTGGTCTTTTGTCATTGAATAGAAATCAAGTTTCTCTTATGAAAATATTCTTTCGAGGAGTTGTGACGTTTGGTTTAGGAACGATTTTAACGACGATTATACTTAATCTTAGTGAATTATTTACATTTAAAAAACTGAAAAACAATCATCAACTCGAAGAAGTCGAACCACAAACATTTCTCGGTTTACCTTTATTGGTGCTCTGGTATATATTTTTAATAATCACTGTGCAAATTCATGCATTTAGTTTATATATGGCTCATCTTTTATTGAATAGTTGGCAGCAACACAGACCAAGCAAACAACATTAGTCTCAGTGTCTCTTTTACTCGCGCATTTTTCTATCGATAGATAAATGAAAAAACCCCGTGCATGTGCAATCCTCGTTTGTTTGTGACACGTTTTTGAATCTCATCTATTAATAAACAACAAGTCTTATCATCACGAAAGACAGTTTAAGAAATCCAGCTGAACTCAATATCTATATTTCAGACAATATGCGATATTTATTGATCTTCCTTGTCTTCCAATCTTGCTCTTCGTTATCGAACAGCGAAAATGAACAATGTACAAAGGATTCTTGTTCAGCATTAACTTCGTCAAACTATTATTTGTTGTATGATGTGAATCACGGAGAAGGTTTTAATCTTCGTCGAGATGTTTATGTTCGAATGGCAAATCTTGTACATACACTTCGAGAACGAACTTCACCTGAATCAAATTGGACACTTGTGCTTCCACCTTGGGGTCCGCTGTATCATTGGTTTTCGTATAATTTGCAACGGGCTCAGCTTCCATGGTCGTTGTTCTTCGATTTAAAAAGTCTTGCTAAATTCGTTCCAGTAATTGAATTTGAAGAGTTTCTTCGTTTATCGTCACCTGTATTGACTATTCCTTACGTATTTGCATTGCAGCACTTCAATGAAGGTTGGGGAGAAAAGTTCGAAGAAAAACTAGAAATCCGCCAATGTAACGACGAAGCTATGTATGAAAAACGAAGTGATAATTATTATCATGGATGGTTTTTTGGATATGAAGATCGTGTGCGTGCGAAGCAATTCGATTGTCTGTCTGCTCAGGGTTTTGTTACAGTATTAGTAGATTATGCTATGAAAAATTTGACATGGTCACAAGAGATAAACGACGAACATCTGCTGAAAAGTGTTATGTTTGATCGCGCCGAAACATTATTACATGTAGATTATGGTGGTTATAATTATTGGCGAGCACGTCGAAGTATGCGCTATGCTCGACGATTAATCAATCTTGGTGAGAACATGACATTTTGTTGCTATGGATGGACAATCATTGAACAAAGATTTCTTTTGTAGGAAATCGTTTTCGTAGTGAATATTTGAATTCTACCGATATTCACGATCGGACTTACCTTGTGGATGATTGGACGAGAGCGGAGTATCTCTCTGATCAAGCATTGGGTGGACCATATCTTGGTATTCATTTACGTCGTCAGGATTACGTCAAAGCACGTCCGGAATATGTTCCTTCGCTTGAGCATGCTGCTCGACAAGTGTGTCATCAGCTTCTCCATTTGAATCTATCCATAGCATTTATCGCGACTGATGCAAATGAGAATGAGATTGATGAAGTTCGTCAACATGCATTTAAGATATGTCACATATCAACGGATCAGATATTAACTTATCGACCAGATGGGAAAATTCTCGAGAAGATTTTAGATGGTGGAAAAGCAATTGTTGATCAATGGATTTGTGCACATGCACGTTATTTCATCGGAAGTTACGAATCAACGTTCAGTTTTCGAATACAAGAAGATCGAGAAATTCTCGGCTTTTCCAAAGATTCAACTTTTAATCGCTTATGCGGTGATAATGAAGGACTTTCCTGTGAAAAGTCAACTGTTTGGCCGATCGTCTATTAAAATAATCTATTTTTATCTTTTTTCCGTGCTTTGTTCTGATATCTGGCATTTCTAAATTTAACTCTTTATGTGTTAATTCTCAATTGAACAGATTGCATTTGTTTTTTGTCACTCAATCTCCGAATGAGTCATTAAGTGATGTGATTGGTGAAAACGTTTGTTAATATCACTCTGCTGAAGAGAACGGCAAAACAATTTTATGACCCAACGAACGAAAAGTACGGCGGAGTACGCATAAATATCTTTGCTCACCGCATGATACATTTCTCTTTCTCACTAAAGCAAAACACTACACGTTGGCAATGCCTTTCTAAATGTACCAACATGATAAACATGATTAATTTTATAATTATATTTTCAGATACTTCCTTAGTTTAAACATGGAACTTTTTTCTCTTTCGTTGGATTTAACCAATTCAATAATCCTAGGCATCGTATCCGTGCTTGTGATTTATTGGTTTTGGCTGAAACCACGTGGGACATCGTCCTCTTCGTCCTCAAACAGCACAATGTCGTTGATTAAACCAGCGAAACCATTGTACGAAATATTTTATTCGACTTTTTGTCAATAATTTTTTTTCTTCTTTTGCAACTATAGAAATGAGCTGTCAGCAAAACCATCTGGTGTTGCACACGAAGGTAGTTTCGTCGATCGAATGATTCATTCTGGCAAGACAATGGTGGTGTTTTACGGCTCTCAGACTGGAACTGCTGAAGAATTCGGACAACGTATTGCTAAACAAGCAAAACGTTATGGAATATCGGCGACTGTGTGTGATCCTGAAGAATGCGATATGGTTTGTTAGAGAAAATGTTCGCTTTTTTCATCATTCTCTGCGTCTCCATCGATGATTCTAGGAAGAACTGCAACGTTTGACAACGATTGATAAGCATATAGCTTTGTTCTGTTTGGCAACTTATGGTGAAGGTGATCCAACAGATAATGCACAAGAATTCTACGAATGGCTACGTGAAGATGGACGAGAATTGAATAATCTACATTACGCTGTGTTTGGCTTAGGAAATAAGACCTACGAGCATTATAATGCAGTAGGAAAATATGTTGACAAACGTTTAGAAGAGATCGGCGGCGTTCGAATGTGTGAAGTTGGTCTAGGTGACGATGATGGAAAGTATGTTGAAGATAAAAGAATTGTAAAGCTTGAAAAAAGTTGAAATTTGTTTAGTATTGAAGACGATTTCATGGCTTGGACGACAGTGTTTTGGGAAAATGTTTGTCAAAAATACGAATTAGTCATCAATGCTGACGGAACTTCGTATGTATTGTTTTAATCCATAAATGTGTTTTCGAATTTTATCTGTCGATATAAGGATGCGTCAATATAAATTGGTCGATGGACCGTTTCCTCCTGAAACTGTATTCACTGGTGAAATTGGTCGATTGAAATCGTATGAAAGGCAAAAACCGTACGTTAGATAGTTATTTTTTTAATATTTAATGAACGGATTTCTTTCTAGACCTTATGATCTTCGTAATCCATATTTAGCACCTGTTCTTGCCAGTCGAGAATTATTTGAAAAAGGTTGCACACGATCTTGTTTGCATCTAGAATTAGATATATCCAATACGCGCATAAAGTAAGAGGCAAATCTTATTCTTGTATTGCTTGAAAAACAAGACAAGTACATTTGTCTGTGATTAGATATGAGGCTGGTGATCATGTTGCAGTATTTCCGTCCAATGATGAAGCATTGGTCAATCGTATTGGCGAATTACTTAACGTTAATCTTGATGAAGTTATTTCATTAGTCAATGTCGACGGTAAATTTCAATTTTCTTCTCAAATTCATCGTTCCACTATTTTCTTGTAGAGGATGCACAAAAGAAAACACCTTTTCCTTGTCCATGCAGTTATCGCACAGCATTAACATATTATCTCGACATAACCAGTGTTTTAAATACGCAAGTACTCAAAGAAATCGCTCAGTATGCTATCAACGAAGATGAAAAAGCAATACTTACACTTATGGGTTCATACAGTGAAGAAGGCAAAGTATGTCATAATTCATTTCCAATCCATTTTTCGAAACTACTTTCTCATGTAGATCAAGTACAAAGAATGGGTGCTGGATAGCTATCGTTCTTTAGTTCATGTTCTCGAAGATTTACCATCATTAAAACCTCCACTCGATCATCTTTGTGAACTATTACCGCGTTTACATCCACGTTATTATTCCATCTCATCATCGCCTAAAGTTCATCCAACATGTGTTCATGTCACTGCTGTTGTTGTGCATTACAAAACACCAACGAATCGTTTTGCCAAAGGTGTTGCAACAAACTGTTTCAAAGAATTACATAACAAACACCAAGTTTTGGAAATTAGCGAAAATCCACCAGAAAATGGTTGTCACGTTCCTGGACGTTTTCCAATCTATATCCGTAAATCCACATTTCGTCTACCATTCAAATTTCAGACGCCAATTATCATGATCGGTATGTTATATGTCTAGATTTTGTTGTCCGATTTTGTATGTTTGCTGTCATAGGTCCTGGAACGGGTTTAGCACCATTTCGTGGCTTTATTCAAGAGCGTCATTTTTATAAAACTCAAAACAAACCAGTTGGTGAGACAATTCTCTATTATGGCTGTCGCAATCAAGCCGAAGATTATTTATATCGTGATGAATTGAAATATTTTGTCGATGAACAGATTCTCGAGTTATATGTAGCATTTTCACGCGATCAAGAGCAGAAAATCTACGTGACACATTTATTGAGACAACATGGAGAGAAATTATGGAAGTTAATCAAAGAGCAAAATGCATCGGTTTATGTCTGCGGGTAAGAGAGTTTATTTTAGAATTCATGTATTCATTGAATTCATTTAGTGACGCAAAAAATATGGCCAGAGATGTTCATTCAATTCTAATTGATATTGCTCAAGCACATGGCGACATGACAGCAGAGAGAGCAAGCGCATTCGTGAAAGAATTGACACAAAAAGGTCGATATTCCCAAGATGTCTGGAGTTAATTTTCTTTCTGATTATCGAATAGATTTTTTTCTGTCGTGTGTTTTTTTCTCTTTTTATTCGTTGCTTTTCTTCTATAGTATTTATTTATAAAATCAGAAATCAAAACCGAGTTCATCGATGAAAATATTTTTGGTACGTCATGAACCAGAAGAACCATTGTCATCGAAATTTCACATTTCGACACAAATTTTATTTATGATGTTAAACGCTTTTGAAGAAACAAACAAGCGCATCGAATTCTAAGTCCTTCCGATAGAGAAGTTCAGCACCGTTGTGTTTTCCTAAAGAAGGAAGTGATTGAAAAACAGACTAATCATTGCGAACAAAGTTTGACATACCCGCATGAAACATTAGTTGAATCGATCGGATAGTGCGCAGAAATGAAGAGAATAAGATTATTTGTTAATCTAACGTGATGAACATGGGGCATTTGTCAGATGTCTATGGCAAAGTGTACCACAGAGGAAAAGTTTGTGACTTAAAATGGTACTGAAACGAAAAACGCACGAAGATTCATATATTTGATGAAGCACATTACTTCGATCTCTTATCGTCGGATTAGACCGTTGAACTAAGAATAAGTAAATACGTATAATTACTCACATATCAGTGAAGATTCGTCATATGTTCGTATTCTCGATTCAACCAACATCTTGTACATGTCACACCAACTGTTTCTCTTGGGTGAAAACGATTTCCATCTTTCTGTTGGGTATAAAACAGTTCCATCAAAGCCCCGATAGTGAAAAAAGAAATTGCTTAGATGAATATATCAATGAAAAAGATGACATGGCAGTTAAATACTAGAGGATTCATCGAACTCTTCTAGCTTTTTGTGCAGCTATCTATCGACGGCGTAAAAGTACAGAAAGAAACACCTGAATTTACCTTAGTTATTCTTCTTCGTGGAAAACACGTTTGATTGTGAACTTCAATCATACTCATAGGTCGAAATAAACAGTTTGTCTGTAATGTAAGACATTGAAGTGAACGAAAGAACTTGTAAGCATCTGTCAAGTTATGAACACCATATAATCGTAACGTAATCAAATTTGGTAGGTAAGGAAAGTGAGATAGCTGAAAAGATGATGCATCTACATCAACAACAAGTGTCTCAATTTGAGTCAATGGAAGACGGTTGAGAAGCGTATCAAATTTGTATACAGATGCTGATAACAAATTGAGACGACGAAAGAAACCTCGTCCATGGACTAATTGTTGAATATAGTTATTATGATCATTAAACGACACAGGAATATCGACTGAAGATAAAGAATCAACTACATTGATCTAGATCATTTCGGGTGGATCACTGAAACGCGTGACTGATAGCATCGAGAAGAAATGAAAAGATGTAAATGACCGAGTTGCTCGGATTCTGTTTCATATACACTTAGCATGGACAGTGAGCCCTGACAGGGCTGGAACCGGTTGAAAATATTCCCACCGTTCCGGTCCGGCCGGTTGAAAAATTCTACCGGACCAGTTCCAGCGCTGATAGAATCCAAAGAAATCAAGAAATTCAACGATGTCAACCAAAGAAAGGTATTGAAAAAATTGAGGAAAACTAAAAGCACATCTTGAATACTTTTATAGTAGACAAAAATTTAGAACACTATAGGATGATAATAGAACTCTTCACTTTTGCATCAGATTTGAGTAGCATTGCATTTCATTATGACAGTTATTCGTGATAATAGATTCATGCATAAACTCCATGTGTATCTATAGAAGATCAGTGTATTATTCACAGACAGCGGATTTATGTAGATTTGCAAAAGACTAAATGATTAGCGAAGATGAGACATAGAAACACCATGAAATCAGAGAGGGAAAGAGATAGAATACGTATTCTGAACGTACGACATGTCACACGAATTAATATATATATAATGAATTCATAAGAATAATACATCTGTAGGACTATTATCGATAGTACTTAACAATGCCTTCCGATTGTCAGTATCAATCATTGATTCAGAACAACTGCCTACCTGTTCCAATACTGATGACCTCAACGCAGTTTCTTACGTCGAGAAGCTTATAACTTACATACATCTGGTCCAGTGCCTCACAATTTCAGAGCTACTGCTTTGATTTAATTGAGCTCAGAATATTAATGTATTTAGTGGTAATCATTTTCTCACCAGTCTTCAATACAACCCATTACCATCACTTTCAGAAAATCATATACACATCGTCATTGTGACAGCTCGCACCATCGCTCTCGCCCTCATCCGAGTCACTTCACAGCACCATTCATAAAAATACTCAAAAGAGTTTAATATGCATATGAGCAAAGGTTTATTAAAGAAGATGAAAATTAGTAAACATATACGTAGACTTAGCACCAGAAAATCAGCTCAGAAGAAAAAAGAAGAAGAAAAGTAAAGAGATATTTATGCGTTTGTTTATACTGTTTAACCAATTGATTTGTTTAAAAGCATTTACGGTGAACAATTGATGGACCAGCTTCATCATATTCTTGTTTGGAGATCCACATTTGTTGAAAGGTTGAAAGTGAAGCCAAAATTGAACCACCAATCCATACTGAATATTTACGTTCAGGTGGAGCAATGATTTTGATCTTCATGGTTGATGGTGCTAAAGCTGTAATTTCCTTTTGCATACGGTCAGCAATACCAGGGTACATTGAAGTACCTATTTAGAAAATAAATTCAAGAATGAATGGTAAGCAAATGAATAACGAATGTTTACCTCCTGACAAGACGGTATTAGCATATAAGTCTTTACGGATATCAATGTCGCATTTCATGATTGAATTGAATGTAGTTTCATGAATACCAGCAACTTCCATACCCTATGCAGAAGAGATGGATTTGATTGAAAAAGAATTGTATTCTCGAATGAGAAATGACTTACCAAGAATGAGGGTTGAAAGAGTGATTCTGGGCAACGGAAACGTTCGTTACCAATGGTAATAACTTGACCATCAGGTAATTCATAGCTCTTTTCGAGCGATGAAGTTGATGCAGCTGTAGCCATTTCTTGTTCAAAGTCAAGTGCAACATAGCACAATTTTTCTTTGATGTCACGAACAATTTCACGTTCAGCAGTGGTGACAAATGAATAACCACGTTCAGTTAAAATCTTCATTAAATAATCCGTTAAGTCACGACCAGCCAAATCAAGACGAAGGATGGCATGAGGAAGAGCATAACCTTCGTAGATTGGGACATCATGAGTAACACCATCACCTGAATCAAGAACAATACCAGTTGTACGACCGCTAGCATAGAGCGAAAGTACAGCTTGAATAGCGACATACATGGCTGAAAAAAAAACAAGGAAAAAATAGTAAACTATTCGATTGTTAGATATTGAAAACCTACCAGGTGAGTTAAATGTTTCAAACATAATCTGTGTCATTTTTTCACGATTGGCCTTTGGATTAAGCGGAGCTTCGGTTAAAAGAACTGGATGTTCTTCAGGGGCAACACGAAGTTCATTGTAAAATGTGTGATGCCAGATTTTTTCAATATCATCCCAGTTGGTAATGATACCGTGTTCAATTGGATATTTGAGTGTTAAGATACCACGTTTGGATTGAGCTTCGTCACCAACATAGGAATCTTTTTGACCCATACCAACCATAACAGCTTGGTGACGTGGTCGACCAACAACCGATGGAAAGACTGATCGAGGAGCATCATCACCGGCGAAGCCAGCTTTACACATACCCGATCCATTATCAATGACAATAGCTGCAACGTCTTCATCACACATTTTTCAGTTGATTCGCAGAGGAAAATAGATAAAAGAAAACTTGATGTTGCTGTGAAGCGATGAAACACAGAAGGCAAGCTTAAAATGGCTAGGAACTAAAGTTATATACCGACTAGAGCTTTCTCTTTTTTCTCTCCTTTCTTCTCGCTGGGTCGTGTATACCGTATTAGGACATACACAATTGTATATTTGGTGTTATCTGTGGTTTTCCGTACAAGAAAGAGAGAACGAAGATTTCCTTATTTGGATATACGGGATAGTCTAATACGAGAAAAAGGAAAACATCATTGCCTGTATTTATCTACTTCCTTCTCGTTTTTTCTTCCTATATATGTGACTCTCTACCATGGTGAACTGTACAAACTCATCCGACGCTGTCCGCCTTGACGCGTAGTCTATTAGCTTGATGCCATAATAGATAACTCGATTCTTCTCTTGTTGATGTTTATGCCTAGCGTTGAAAGAAGAGGGAAATGAATAGAATCAAAATGACACTAATAGAAACATAGGAAACGAAGAGGCTTTCAAGGTATCCATAAAAATGATATAAGAAGCTGTTCGAGTATACCAGAAGAATTCTTTTGGGTAGTGTTATGTAGTACTAATGAGAAGTAGGCAGTAGATTAGCATAAAACAAATTCTACTTGACGATGGATATTCTCAATAAACAACACAATCCTATATATAGATGTTTTGACGGTTGAAATCGGGACATCCATTGAAAATTTTACTTATTGCACTGAGTTATGTAGTCGATTAAACACGAGATCTGTCAATGTTTGTGATATGCATGTACCTAATCTTTTTTTTTAATGTTATAAATGAAAATTATTGAAATGAAATCTATTTCTTTGCTTTACATGAATATAATGACATTGACAATACACTGAATGCAGAATTACAATATTAAAGCGAAAGAGTTCTCATGCAAAATGTTTTATAATTTTGTCGATAGCCTTGCGACGATAGGATATCTCATTTTTTCTTTCTTTCGTCATTTCACCATAAGTTTGTGTTTCCCCTTTCGGTTGAAAAACTGGATCCCAACTAAAGATTTACCGATTATATTCGAATCTCGAATAAGAACATCTTACCCATCATCTTTCGCGTAACTTCCAGGTCGAGGCATAACTATCGTACCTAGCGTATATAAAACAAAAGAAATGAAACTATTCGGTTTTCATATGCGCACCTTCAGCTGTACCAGTGAATAATTCTACGAACATAAGAACATTTCGAAAGTTAATTTTTATGATTTGAATAAACTTTTTACTTGGCTCTGTTGGTTCGCCGTGTTTATCGCGTTCACCGTAAGCAAAAATAACTTTTGCAGTTGCGCGTTTATCTTCATAAGCAGTGAGGATTTTTGAAAGACCTTCTAATTTTAAATCCTCAACAAACCATTTTATGTACGGACCAGGTAAATCTTTCAATGCTGTAAAACACAATGAAACATCTTCAATTAACTGAAAAGAAACAAAAGCTATCAAGAAAATGAACACTTTGCTATGACATACAACAGGTCCATCGACCATCTTTTGTGCTGCTTTACATTTTTTCACTGAAATCTTTTCCGGTTCACCTTGATATTCATCTGAACAAAGATAGACAATTTTATACTGTTACAGTCACATAATGAAACTTACCAAGATCGATATCTTTAGCAATTAACTAGAACATTCGCGGATGAAATCAATTATTAAGATGAAATCAAAGATTTACTTCAAACTTCGGATGGCTCCCAAGTAAATCATTGACTTCATCAAGTTTCTTTTTATTCGATGTGATGAAATAAATCTTCTTCACTTCTTCGGATGACGAACCCATAATGACAAAAAACTTTGGACGATAAAGAATATGATCAGAGAAGAATTTCTTTCTGATTATATACGTTCGTAAAAAAACAATTGAATAGACTGAGAACTGATCAGATCGCCTCAGCTCTCATTGCACTCAAACAGTCGAACACGTTTGTCAGACACGTGATGTCTAGAACCAATAAGAACTCGTCAGAAGCACTGTCGCTGTTGGAAACAGCAGGACAAAAAAAGGAGAACTGTGCATAAATCTCTTTTTTCTTTCAAGAACAATAAACTAGGCAAACAGGAAACAAACAAAGATATATGTTGATACAGTAGGACTACTGAGGCGATGATCGACAAAAATTGAAATCACAGAATCCGATTATAGTGTTTCCTGGTGAATTGTAGATGTGGTAGATGATATTTTAGTCGAGAGGTAATATAAGATATCATTTTTCAGGTTCGTATACCGACATCGATAGGATAAACATAAGCAATGAGTTATTGCATTGATCTATTTATGGAACATGATTCCGAATGTTGATGTCTATGTCTGGAGTAGATACATGTAAAAAAAGTCAATAATTGTATTCTATAAATACCCGTAAAAATCATTCGTATTTTTCGAAATAGGACATTTTTGTTTAAATTTAGTTTTAAAATAGTGTTGTCGTTCCCAAGTCAGATGTGTTCGTTTATCTCATTGTTGAAATTATTCGGAAGTTCTGTAGACATCTAAAACTGCGTTCAGTTTCGTAAGCATCTCTTTATCTTTAGTTTTCCAATCTTCTTTGCAGTCAAATAGCTCTGTTTCCGTAACTACTCGTTTCAAATGATATTTCGGATAATGTTCTTCCTCAAACAAATCTAAACTGATATGCTCGATATTCATTTGACGAATTTCTTCATAGTGTTGTTTATTATCATAAAAGATTACAACTGCGTATTGACTTAGCGCTCTCGCAGTGTCTTATATATCCAATAGATTAAGAGTGTCAAATGTTCCATTAGTTGCTGTAAATGTTCAAAAATAGTTCCACTATCACTGAGCTGCTAAATCTTTCACACCCTCTTCGCATTCTCACTAGTTGTTGAATATTTGTTTGAATCCAAAATCCCGATATGACATTTATGATAGTTCACATCATTTCCGTTAAATGACATCATATAACGATTCCAGTTTATTCAAGTAAATCGCGCGTTCATTAACGACTAATGTGTAACCATTTTATTTTATTAATGTAAAAAAGAAGGAAACAACAGTTGTAGAAAATGCGTCTAATTTTGCAGAATTTTATACGCAAGTAATGTTTACAACTTGTAGGCTAATGCTGATCTTTGAAAAAAGGGAAAGACGAAAGGGGTGAAATTAAAATTTTTTGACAGATACGCTGTAAAAACAGAGGTTAAATGAAGCAATTACTTTTCATTATTATAGAAAAAAGGCTTTTCTAGAATTTTGACGTATGTCTGTTTTCTTACGATAAGGTCGAGCGAGAAATTTATGATGATTTCGCAGGGCGAGAAGGTATAACATCTTCGCACTTCACACTCTATGAATAATAACAGCTTATTCTTTAAATGATCTATTTCGTAGAGCAACACTACACTGTGATAGTTGTATTTTGCGAAAAATACTCACTTTACGTTCACATCTTGAATTTGAAGCTGTTTCAAATACTTACAATAGTAGATAGAATCAAGAATTGACATCTCAGTTAATGAATCATTATTTCAATATCTGATTTTTCTATTGAAAAGTGATATCTCATAGATATATGTATATAATGATACGTAAAAGAATTTGGTTGTTTGGCATCCTGATTACATCGAAGTCTTTTTGAATGGGTTCGCAAAGAACTAGTTCAAAACTATAAACACGCATTAGAAAATATCTCATTCGTGAATGGATCAATCATCTGACATGACTCAAATTCAATTTATGATTATCATAGTATTAAATGGAACCATTGGTACCATCTAATAGACAATTATCAGTATGCGATAGCGAAGCATTTCTTTAGTTATTACAGTCAAGAGAATCATCAATTAACGATAAAGTCGGTCAACTAGTAGGCGAATAGGAATAATAAATGCTGTGTACGATGATGTTGTTGAAACAGTTCCATCCACTGATAGGCTTTTTCGTTTGAATTAGATTTTGAACATCTGTTTCAGTTGTATTGACCATAATTATGAAAAACAAAACATGCTTAGGAGGTACCTACATCAAATGCCACCGATTTACTTGTAGGAACCGTACGTTCTATCGTCATATTTCACCTAATAGTTTTTGTCTAATTTTCTGATTATGATTCTTCTTGTTTTTAGTTTTTAATCAATCAAGAAAACGATGGTTCAAATACAAGTGTTGGACGAGAAACGAAATTGTGCAGTGATCGTGACAACTGTCTGAGAATATCATCCTTACAAAGTTAGTTTCGTGATACCACTGCCCTTTATTACCTATAGTGATGCTTGTAATGATATTTTTGTGTGAGTAAAATATCAATTTATATGAATACTATGAGACACATAATTGTTCTGTGTGTATTAGTGTACTTAATATGATCAACTGTATTATCCTCATCATGCTGGTAAGATTGACAGAAAAAAGATTTTCAAAATCTAGATAATTTTATATTTTATACTATTAGAACCACGTCCTACGCCATCAACAATGAGTGTTATAGGAAATTTTATGTCGATAGATCTTAAAATTTTCTCAGTTGGACAGCAGCGAACGACAGTATTGATATAATTGACATCAACTTCCTTTACAGAAATAATATCATTACTCTTTCCACACTCTCGATATCGCTCACATTCTCACATCAGCTGTCCTATGAATTAGTTCGACAATTTCATCATTGTGTGTTAATCTACACGACGACTATCTTATCGTAAACAACATGATGCATCATTAATACAGTAGATGCCCGTTCTTTGGATTACGCACAAGATTCAAGGTATTTGTTTTCGATGCGATTCCTTATCGATAAGTTCTTATGATAAATTTAACATAGATCATCTAATGAAGAATTGCTCATTCAATATTCAAATAAACAATTTGTTGAGTTGTGTGACGATAACACAATAAGTTGAGTAACAGTTCTTTTGATTCATCGAAACTGGTCTAATCTTCAGTTAGAGAAAGGGTCAGGGAATAAAGATTTGGGCGAACAGCTAAGTACAATAAGAATGATTGATAAGTTACTTTGTGAAAGATGAAATCAGAAGAAATGGAATATGCTATTCTTTATTTTCGGAAAAAAGCAACACATACATATGAAAACAGTGATTATAAAACTTCTCGTTTTAACGAAGCTCGTGCTTGACTATCACCTGATCGATATCTTATATCGATATCTTTATTCCGTGATTTTGTCGTTCGATCAACACGTCTTAATAATCCAACTAATTGTGCGTCTGCTTCTAATAACGAAATGTGTCTCGGCGCACCTAAAAATCTCGCCGCCATTTCCCAAGATTGTAAACGTATTGATACAACGGCACCTATTGTATATTGAGCACGCTGCTTTGTCTGCGGTCGTTGAACAACGGCATGAAATTTACCCCCAAAATCAACATATAAATCATCGTCAACAGCATCAACAATTCGTCCACTTAATAAACGTCCTTTCAAATTACCTAGTTGAACGAACTTCGACTGACGAAACATTTTCGCGAATGTCATTGATTTTGTTTGCTCGGTCGTCGACGGAGATTGTTGATTTGACGGTGTATTCTCACGGATATATTCTGCATCAATATATGTATTTGCTAAACGAATCGGGATATATTTTGATGACGAGGAGAGAAGCGGAGACGAATTTAATAGACGAGATGCTAAACGAAGTAACATCCTCAAAAGTATCTAGAAATGAAAGAACAAAATTCATTTTCAATACTTCCTAAACATGTCGAACTATGAAACAAGACTTTGTGCAAAAACTTCTTTTAATTGATTGATATCCAACTTATTCTTTGCTCTTTCCAATATAATATTTCTTAACGCAATCATTTGCCGCGTTGTCTTAGCTTTTATCCAAATACGTCCGTTAGCTCCAATAGCTATTTCATAAGGAATTTCATTTCCTAAATCTTTCAACAGAGTATCTTGACCGATTAAATCATTCGCGATATCCACAGATAAATCAAATAGATATCCGTCGTCGTTCAAAACACCCATTCCATCAGCTTTGCCGTCTTCGTTAACACACACAATTTGCGGTTGACATTCACCATCGATCTTCAATCGACCGTAGATAACATCACCCCGATCGACATTCGGTTTCGTACGTTTTGTTGAACCTTCAAAATCGTATAAAGATAACGAGGCTAATTCATTGTAACCAATATCGACAAGAAGAGATTCAAGTTGTCGACGTACAACAATGCCTACAACGAGATCACCTGTTGAAAGTGATGATGCGCAAGGTCGATGACCATCAACATAATATGTCAAGGATGTTGGTTCGCGTATATGACCACATGCATGTGATATAAATGCGCTTGTATCCTTGTCATAATGTAAACCGGGCCCGAGAACTATTGAACTTGAAGAATCAAGTGGACTTGGTAAAGTTGAAAGTGCAACCGTATCACCAGGTAAAACAAACTCGTCGATTTGACGTTCGATATCCATCTGAAGTGATTAAGAACACGTTCTCATTTGATGTTTGTTGATATATTTTTCATGAGAAGACAATTACGAAAGAGAAGAGCAACAGAGAATATCTTTCAATGTTTTGCACATTATATTGAAACGAAAAAGAGACAGAAGAAAAACAAAGAAATGATCTAGTGGTTAGACATATTCTTTCAAAATTAAAATAACATTTCATTGGGTGCATCGAGATCTTCATAGCTTTTCATTTGTCGATTCATTCTAAACGTTAAACAATCAATATTAGAGAAAAACAATGGCAAACAAAATCAAATGCAAATTAGTCTTCATCTTACGCGAAAGACATAAACATGTCTAACGAAATATTTCTAGATCGAAATTTAGAATCGATTCAATATCGGGAAAGTTTTACTTACGGTGCTCGATGTATCGGACCACCAGGGTTTGGGTGCATAACTGGAGGTCGTGGATGACGATATTGATTGTAATATGGGTTCGGACCCGACACTGAAAATTTCATGAAAATATGTAGGAAGAGTTATCGAAGAGTAGTGACATACTTGATGGCCACATCTGTGGTCGATTGAGTAGTCCGTGGCCACCCATTCCAGGTGTAGGTAATGGTAAACCGGACGGATGTGATCCAGACTGTGCTGCACCGGCTCGTGTTGAAGGATGTTCGGGTAATTGCGGTCGTTTCGGATCATATAAGTAGTTGTTAAAATAAATGACCTAAACAAAGAGAGATACTTCGATTTTTCGCTTCCTACCTGAAGAATCTTACATTTTTTTTCACTTCATCGAGTTTATCCTGGTGTTTATTTAGAATATGTTTGCGAACAAACTCTGGTCCTTTGAATTTCTTTCCGCTCAGCGGACACGACCATTTATCTTTGCCTACTTCTTGACAATTAGCAACGATAAATTTTTCAACTTCATCGTCTTCGTTTTTCAGTCCCAATTTCACTGCCTCATCATCATCGATCTTCTCTCGACAATCAATCAAGGGCTTGATCCGCGATTCAAATTGTTGCATGAAATTTGTCAATTCAGATTCAGTTACCGACGACAACGGTGTACCACGAACGTGAATGACTCCACAACGATTCGGCATTGCATCTTCTTGAGTGTATTCACTTCCGTTATAATAATCAATTGAATAAACAACTCGTAAGTAGAGAATTAGCCGATCGAGTACCTAGAAAAGTCTATGATAGATCGCACGAGACTTTTTTTTCGTTTCCTCAGTACTTTAGTCAATTCTTTATCCATTTCAAATGTATTGGTTTCGGTTTGTTGATTAGTTGAATCGCCAAGCAATTCTTCTTCTTCAGCATCGGCTTCTTCAACTAGATATTCTGTAATATTTTTCAACAACGGGTTTGCACTAACAAAACCAATGGGTTTCTTATTTTTCGTTGGCGTGATTACCATCGCCGCTGTCGATGAAGAGATTTCTGAATCATCTGTTGCTGGTGCATCGGTTTTCTTTTCTGTCGTTTCATCATTCGACGATTTCCAAAGATTCCATCGATCATCTAATTGTTGAATTATCTTCGATACTAATCGAAGGTCATTTCGCATGATCGTTTTGTGTTGGCCAATTCCGTTGATCACACGAATACGATGTTTTAAATCACGATTAACAATTGCACCGACATCGACGTCATGTAACTGAAGAAATTCTCAGTTTGTTAAGAAGCACAGATGCGAGACAACATACTTTAGTTGAATTAAATTCATAGCAAATGTTACGAATGGGCACAGTATGATCGAATGTTACCCAACCTCGACGGGAAAACTTTCGTTCTGGTGCAGGATCACTGATACAAGCACGACGAAAACCAGCATATGGCTTACAAAGCTACAAATCAAGCGAATTGATCTCTTCGAACGGAAAGAGAATACTGATTACTTACATTTTCTAAATCTTCTTTGGTTGTTTGCATTGCTAAATGACGAAAGAAGATTGACAGTGTACGATGTAAAGCTCGCGGTACATCGGGAACTTCTCCTGCTTCACGTTCTGTATCGCCGGAAGACGTTTTCACTTCTGTACTTTCTTTTGATTCCGCTAAAAAACAAAGAAGATCTCTAATTGAATTAAATGAACTTTAGTCATTTACAATTTGTCAGAGTATTCTTGTTGCTTTCTTCGCCATCATCGGCGGTAGTATTTTTTCCATTCGTTTTCTTTTCTACGTCTTCATCATCGCCATCCGAGACTGCTCCATCGTCGGACGCACTACCTTCTCGTTTGCGCTGAAGAAAAAACAATTGAAAAAGTCATTCTTTCCGTGTACTCCACTGGATCAAACCTTAGTTTCTGTTGATTTCTTTGCTTTAGTATCCGTTTTCTCAGCTTCAGTCTTATTTACTGCTGACTTCGATGTATCTTCATCGGCATCGTCATTTTCCACCGTTATGTTACTTGATGATCCTATAGCATCAAGTGCACGAAGATCTTGATCGTTTCCACCTTCTAACTTGATTATAACTGAAAAATAAACGATAAACAATATCTTGAAATATCGATCAACAGTTTTGTTTTACCAGCATCGAGGAATCTCGTCAATGTACGTTGACTTTCGCTGTCAACACCAACATCGTCTAGATAACCCTTTCGGTATAATTCCATGAATACATCCGAACGCTTTTTCATCGTTTCTCGTTGTTCTTCTCGACGTTTTGGCAATTCATCTGCATGGTATTTATGTTTAAGCCTGTTGGAAGGTGAAAAACAGAATTTAGACAAGTATTCTTCGAAAATCGAATCTGTTTGAGTCAAACCATCTATTTTAGAGTTCACTTACGGCTCTTCTCAAAGGTAGATCATTATCCATTGAAATTTGTGAACGTACGCGCAAGAAAGAAGAGAGAAAGTGGATAGAAAGTGATGAAGATTAGATAATAACGAAAGCGCAAACGAGTTGGTTTTGAATAAATATCCAACTTAATCGATATTTCGATTCTCGATTTGTTAACCGAAAGAATCTTTAGCGCAGCGCAATGAAAAAAGTGTAAATAGACGCGCAAGAAAATCTTGTTATAGACGATTGAATAATTTTCACTAGAAGGAGAATAGATAAACTGTCTTCGTTTAAATTGATGAAAAATATCAAAGAGAATTGTGTTTTTTTACAAACCAGTCTTCGTCTTTGTGTACGTTGAAGAATTCAGCGATTTGAGTCTTCTTAAAATCAAGCTTATATTCATTAAAGCGTTTAACGGCTTCTTCTTGATCGATGTTATCATCTTGTTCTTGTAGGAAATATTTGAAACTGTACATTGGAGGTTGTGTAACAGCATCGGATGTATCTCTACATTCACATAAAAGATGTATTACAAAATAGAGCTCCATTGATCGTTACTTATTGAATTGATCTTGAGATTGATGAGCATTTGGTGGGAAACCTGAATGATAACCTCCTCCACCACCGCCACCGTGGAAATAAGATGAACCACCGGGTGGATCGAAATGAGATGATGGCTGATCAGGACCATCCCTGGAAAAAAGAGATGATTGAGGTGAAAAAGAATTCTATGAATTTGTTCTTACCAATCACGACGGACACGTTTATTGTGAGGTGGACTCATATCGTATCGGCCAGGACTTCGATTGTATCGTGGTGGAAAATCGCGGCCGGGTGGTGGTCCACCACCGGAATATTGTCTTCGATATTGGTTTGAACGATCTCTTTTTAAAAAAAAAACAAATCAATGTAGATGATCATGTTAAATAAGAAGCACAGACTCAGTAGAAAAGAAAGGCAAGTATCTTAGCAGAAACATACTCTTCATTGCCATCTAATCGGACATGACTGTTGTGATAGTACAAGAAAGCATTTTGTTCCTTTGAAATGATTTTGGAAAACCTTACCTTCCGTCGTTCCATTCACCACCACCACTACGGTTGTGAATACCGCGATTTCCTCCAAAATCATCACGTTCACGACGAAATTTATCCCGATGATTTCGTCGACTATCAAAATCGTCATCACTATCACCCATTTTTCGTTTACTTTATCTAAAAGCATAAAATCCATCAATCATTTCCACTTATGAAGGAACTTCCCAATTTTCTTGAACAAAAAAAAGGAAACTCCAAACTATCGATTTAGTAGTAATACTTCTTACTAACTGCTCTTCTTCGTTTATTCGCTGTCCTCCAATCAATTGTACATATCACATACTGTTTCATCAACGTACGACCTCTATCACTGGTCATCATAAACTATATAAATCTTTCTACCACTTTACATATACAATTCGACTATGTAGTGATTCTCTTTCTTCACAATATAATGATGCTAAGAGGCAACACTTTCGTAAAACAAACTGATAAATATGAAAAATATGTGCAAATGTTTCCTGTTAAACGATCGACAGACTGATTTGAAAATGTTCAATCAACGCTTCAACATCTCCCGCCCTCTTTTGTTTCTTTCCCTACATCAGCACATATCCAAGACATCGTACAGATCCTATGGCCGATGCCCTCTCCTCATCACACAGCTTATTCTTTCATCTAAATCTTCATATCCATGGCTTATTGCTTACTTTTTGTCAACACCAATACTTGTCATCCTTTGTTAGTTCGTTCTACGAGTATCCTTGAACGTAATGAACATTCTCCTGAAATGATTCTGAACTTATTAGATCGTCCTTCGGACAATCAAATTCCCTTAGCTTTAATCGGAATTCTTACAAGTTCATATACATTTTCCAATAAATTCGGAATTAAACTTCGTTCGTGCCATACAGATGATTGTACAATTCATTTCTATGAATACAACGAACATTTATTAATGTGTTTATTAGAACCAACCGAATTCGATATTCCCACTGAATGCACACAATATAAATTAGTGTTATTACGAACGTTATTTAATATGATTATAGGATATGAATATATTGACCAGAAAAGTCAAACGAATGCGCAAAAATTAGAGAATGATTTAAATTTAGTTAAATTTTATGTTGATACAATCCTAAATGATGAACGAACGTTCTCATTCGGAGATTTAACACAATGTGCAGATACACTCTGCGGTTTCGACCGACAGTAAGTTATCAAAACTGCCTTTCCTTCCTATCTTTTCTCTTCGTAGCATCATGTATTCCTGTTTAAAATCGATCTCAGATCATCTACGATGTGACCACGTGTGTATTACTCTGTCGAATCGTATTATCGCATCGAGCGTTGGTTGGTCACGGTTAACTCAAGCTGAACAATACATCTTAACACTTCTAATTAGCTTAAACGATTATTCCAATGATATTCTACCAACGGTTCGTGATATGCCGATCTATCTCGATTCGATCGATCGATCACATAACTATCGTCTACTTTCCGTTCGTTTACTTGGTCAAATTTATGTGTCAATACTTTGCTCTTCGACACCGAAAATGAGTGAATTCGAGAGTCTTGTTGAGAAATACTCTCAACCTCATATTGAACATATCCAACATCTGAATACTCTTCTTTATCCTCGATCATTTCACGATAATATCATTTTCGATCATAATATTCAAGCATTGTTATACATCAATCATCAAACACATTTCTGTGTGAGTACTTTGGAACCTCACAAAGGAAATTCGCCAATATCAATGTCAATGAAGAAACATCGGTATGGAGTTCTGAGACAATTTTACATGGAAATTATTCGAATGGATAAAGAGCAAATGATGCCATATGAAGTTTTGAAGAATGATATGAAAATGAATGAAATGTACTTATTAAATGCAGATGATCAAAATGAATATAAGTGTTATTTTGTTCGTGAAGAGACTGTTTTTGAATTGTTCATTTTATTCGACGTGAACATTCCGAGTATAGCTATGCGAGGAATAGCAAAGAAAACCATTGCATTACTTCGAAAGAATCTGTGAATTTTCTTCGTATTTGAATCGTTTTCATATAAAATAGATCTTTGTTAGACTATTGAATCTTCTAGATAAAGAATGACGTCGACTGACGCTGAACAATCAACGAAAAGTGTACCGATTTACAATGCAAAATCATCTTATGAACATTCACATTCGTGTAATGATGCATCGCATCATCATTATCCATCGTTTTACGATTTCAAAAACGACGCATTGGCAGCAGCAGCTGCGAAAACCGAAATATCAATGAAACGGAAAGCGAAAAATAGTCAAAAACAAGATGTAACACGCGCAGAATTGATTCCTGGCCATCGAGGTAACAGCACCGTCGATGATTTAGTGAAATTTATCAATGGACCATCACCATCCACTACGAAAAAATCCAAAAAGAAATCTCCAACAAGCAGCTAAGATTTCTCATTGTTTTCATACACTTTTTTCCGTATCTGAATATCCAAACGAAAGAAGAAAACTTCATATCTACTTCACAATCTTTGTTTTCTCTACGAGATGTCATCTGGTATCAACCACTGATTCATAGTCACTTTAAAAAAAGTTGATATATAAAAAAAAACAATAAAACTGCACACAAAAACACTTGGAAATGATAATCATATTGCATAATAAATAATAAATAAATTTTGGAAGAGCTCGGAAATATAGAAGGCACAACTTCACTTTTGCTTTTCAACTTAAAAATTTCATGCTCATCTTATCATCAGCATCAATACGTTCAAGTGTTTTACAAAACTCTTCAAATGTTATCGACTTATCACCATCTTTATCCTACGAAAAGAAACATTCATTTCGTTAAAATTTCCTTTTCTAACTTACTAGTTCACTGATTGTATGATCAGCTATTGTTGCGATCTGTTCCTCATGAATGTTACCTCCGACCATCATTTTCAAAACTTCTAATAGTTCATTTCGATCTATTTTCATATCATGGTTCCTGTCATACATCTAAGCAAATTTGAGAGATTTTGTCGGAAATGCTTTGCGTCCAATGACTTACATCAAATAAAAATCGTAGTTTGCATTCACGTGTATTGAATTCTGTTGTGGAGGCTTTGACTTTTCCATGGCGAAATTTCGCGAGTAGAAAAATGAATTGTTTAAAATTGATTTTGTTGTTTTCACCATAATCATTCATGATGACATCGATTAATCGTTCACCCAATGGGTTGATGTTCACTTCTGGAATGCACAAAAGATCTTCGCGTGTTAAAAATCCACAATCGCGTTTGTCCAATGTTTTGAAACGACTATAAAGTCGTTGGACTTGCTTTGTCGTGAAACCTGCAATCAACACAAACGCCAATATTCACATATCCGTCGTTCAATCATGTGACGAACCTGTTTGTTGACAGATATTTTGTAAATCTTCTTGTTGTAGCATAATACTTGCATTGGAACCCATTGTGAACGTGCCTACTGATCTAAAACGAGAAGTAAATTGTGGAATTGTCTCGTTTTTCTTTATACAAAGCATCAGTCATTCAATTTGGTGTTTGAGCAGTGAAGATATCAGTTTTGTTTTTCTTTTTTTACTAAATGTTGTTATTTACCATAGTGGCATGAAAGAGTCATTATATGTTTTGATCATTAACAAGAAAACTGTCAGAATAACAAGAACAACAATGAGTAACAACGGGTTGAATATATAAAAAAACGGAAACGTTCGACGATGAAGAGAGGAAAACATGTTCTAAACACACACGCACACTGAAAATCACACATGCACACTCAAAGTCTATTGTCATCCTCGAATAGATCATTGAATTAATCTTCGGATTCGCCGGGTAAACGAATATCATCAATTTTAAGAATCATTCGGACAAGTTGTGTTGCCAAACTAATCTGTTGACGTTTGCCTATAAGTGTTTCAATAACTGATTGCGATTTCATATCTAAATTAACGAGAAAAAGTAGAAATTATCATGGAAATCTCGAAATACACTCACCATTGATTCCCTTGTTAAGACAATCGACACCTAAGCGTGGATTTTTTTGTGCAATTTGTTGTGATTTAATGTCAGAAACTGTTTTTATTGGTGAAAAACCGCTGTTTTCAGCCAATGCTAATGGAACTGACTCGAGTGCATCAGCAAATGCACGAATTGCATATTGTTCAATTGTTGGGATCTATAAAGCAGTAAAAATATCTACCAAGACACGAGCATTGTTTTTCTCCAAACCTTATTGGCTTCTTTGGCGACTTCAATAGCACATGCAATTTCACAAGCACCACCTCCGTAAACAATTCGATTGTCGCGAACAAGATTTCTAACAACGCATAACGCATCATGTAAAGCACGTTTAGCTTCTTCGACAACCTAAACATAGAAATCGTATGAAAACATATCGAATTTCTCGAGAAAAATTAGTACCATTTTGTTTCCACCACGAACAAAGATCGTACAAGTGTTCGATTTCTTGCATTCTTCGATACATAGCATATGATCGCCTGTTGTTCCGAAATCTAATTCTCGGATACGGCCTGCAAAACCTAATTTCTCAGCAGTAAGCTCTTGAAATCGTGGAACAATGCGACCACCCGTAGCAATGGCAATCAATTCAATTTCTGGTCCGCCAACCCAACGCACGGCAGGCAATTCATGAGACAACAGCAAATGATTTGCTTCATCATCAAAACCCCATTGGCAGATAACCAAATTCGCACCTGAATCTTTGATCTTAATTGAAAACAGAACATATGAAATCAATCTAACGAATATAAGTTTTGTTGACAACATACAGATTTGATCATTTCAGTGAATTTTTCTTTTTCATATTCACGTAACTTGTTGTAGTCTTCGACGGTGGTAATATCCAATTTATGTTTTGTTTTTGGCTTGGGTGGTTCAAATGGGCAAGTTAAGATAGCGATCTTAGCATTTTGAACTTGCTGCAAAGATTCAAATATGAATATGAATACGATGACAGTTTCGAACTCACTTTTGGCATTTGTGGATGTGAAAATGTTTTGTCAACGACAACACCTTTGACTAAAAGTGTATCTTCTAATCGACCACCGACTTTACCTTGGACTTTGATTAATTCAAAATTCACATCACGTCGTTCCATATCGGCTACGTTCAAAATTGCATTAACCGCTATTTCAGCCATTTGACGTTGGCATCGATTAACACTAAAACAAAATAAGCTAGTCGAATATTATCGAAAACTTGATAGTCTTACATTTTTGAACCGAGTGTTGTCATTGCAGTGTTAATCAATGGATCAAGTTTCTTTAAATCCAGTGGATAAGTTTCGGAAATCTTTTCCAGGTGGTCAAGTGCAATTTTAGCCGCTAATTCATAACCGTCAGCGATACGAATTGGATGAATACCTTTATCAAGAAGAGCTTCGGCTTGTTCAAGTAATGCACCGGCCAAAACTGTTGATGAAAGAACGCAAAAGAAAAACAAGATTATTGTCTCGAAATGTCGACCGACAACAACAGCATAACTTACCAACAACACCTGTGGTTCCATCGCCTATTTCATCATCCTGAGATTTTGATAACTGAACCAACAATTTTCCAATTTCATTCTCAACATGCATCATACTAAGAATAGTTGCACCATCATTCGTGATCGTAATGTCGCCATCGGGTGAAACCATGCATTTGTCCATACCTATGCAAACGAAACGATCACGAATTGAAGACAATAAATTACACTTGGCTCGTACCTCGTGGACCTAATGACGTTTTAAGCGTATCAGCTACTGCTTTACCAGCCAAGATATGAGACTAAAACCCAGGAGAATGTGATTTTCAGAATAATCGAGCAATTAGTTGATCTACCTTATGCGCTTCAATTCCAAAAAGACGTTTTTTTGAGTCTTGGCCTTTGAGAATAAGTACTGGACGACCGAATTCATCGAAAGCAAGAGTTCCTACGGATGGCATTTTGATTGATTGATCTAGATTGTATGAAATGAATACAATACGAGGATGACTGAGTCAAAGAAAGAAGAAAAACGTAAAAGTTGAATATATATCACCACGACTGCAGAATTTGTTTGTTTATTATATATTCTTTTGCGTTCGTACATCAACGATTGGTTGAGTAGGGGATGATTAATTAAGCAAACTTTTCATTTAGTTACATGATCGAAAATGAAAGAGGTCAATCATTCGTATTCTTAATGAAATTAACAAAAATAGAATCGACTATTGAAAAGTCATTTGTTTTTGTAGAGGTTCTTGCTAAGCAATATCAGACTTATGGATTCGCAGACAGATGGCGTATTCATTTCAAATATTACGACGCTATTTCTCAAGTATTTGATTTATACTCAACAATGAGCAAACGTTCGACACCAGGTTAAAGTAGGAATAGTTTTTCGCTTTCATGTACTAGTGCATGCAATACCCGATTCTCTACCCCAGTTGATATATCATTGCAATTTTGAACATGAGTTTTCGTTTTTACACATAACAGGATCTCAACCGCAGCGAGCACCAGCTGGATATCGTTCATCGTCTGTCGATGTGCCAAGAGGTTAGCTAAACATGTCAATAGTTTCGATTTTCCAATGTAAAGTTCTCAGGCTCAGCTAGTCGATCATTGGTACCGGCAACGAATTCACGAAACAATGCTTTGGAGCGTGTTGCACAGAATCCGATTCGTTTTCATGAAGAGAATGGAATGATGGTACCAGATGGTAGGTATTCATCACAAAAACAAATTGAAATTGACTCATGTCGATGTAGGTTATACGTCGCGTGTGATTCGTCCTGCTGCTAGAGCAGATGTTGTAAGTCGATTACGGATGATGACAGCGTTTCAAGGTACTATAAGTGTTGTTTGTAATCAAAGGTAACAATGGCTCGAGCGATGAACCGTGATTTTGGTTCCAAAGCACAAGCCATGTTTCAAAGCGAAGTAGATGCAGCTCGTGAGGCGATCGAACAAGATCTCTATATCAGTTATCGACAACCGGGTAAAGATTATGACTGCTATCGTGTTGGATCGATTGGCAAATGTTTTTGTGGGCATACCCTTGGCGAACATGCAAGATTCACTGGTAAAGTCAGACGTTTGAAATGTCAATCAGGCGGCTGTGCTTGCGATGCATTTGCTTATATTCCATCTCGACCGGATGAAGCTGGTGAGTTTTGGCTATTAAAACGACCTGGTTTTGATCCGTCGACTTGGCGTGCGAAGTGTCGATGTGGACATGCACACGATCGTCATGAGCCCAAATACAAACGATGTAAAGGTACATTTCATTGTGAGAAAAACGTGGGAGAATTACTCGATGTTTGTTATCTAGAATGTAGTTGCAGCAATTTCAATTCGAATTTTCTCTGTGCTGCATGTAATAATCATTGGGAACAGCATGAGACTTTTATTGAGCGTGGTAGCGAACGTGAACAGCAGAAACTACCAACAGGCGAATTCTATATGCCATTTGCGGAATTACCTGATATGCAACAAGTCATTTTGACGGGTTCAGATGCGCACATGCCAAGTCCATATTTGGATGCCGCACCAAGGCAAGCTGTGCAACATAGTGGCGGACGTGCCGCAGCCTTGCGTATGTGTTTGCATCGTTCAAAAGACGAACGTTTTTTTGTTCTATGTATTATAGAAGGACCCAATCGACCAGCTATCGGCTATGGTCAGCATTCAAATGCATCAACTCGTGGTGATAATGGCGCCAGTCAACGAGGCCCTGCGCGAGGACGTGGACCTTTGCGTGGTAATCATCAAGCAACTGAAGAATAAACAAATCAATGATATTCTATCCCCGGTGCTGCGTTTTTGGATGTATATTTCGATATATTTTTCTATTGATAATCGTGCGTTTTCACATAATAAAGAGTTTGGGAAGCTACACAATAAGTCATCTTTCTATTTGAAAAATATTCATAAATACATTTCACGGTACTAAAAATAAATGATCGGCATATTATCTACGATATTCCGTAATTATCCAAGAAACGGAGAAAAGGTAGTGTTACGATAGATACATAAAGAAAAAAAATGGTCCGTACGATCATTTGACCTATGTCATAAAAAATGTTTTTTTATCAAAACTCAGCCAAAGAGTATTCATATTTTCAAAGATTAGATAAGTAAAGTATGTATACTGAGCTTTTTTCCCAGTCAATATACTTTAACTGCAACAATATATTGTTTCAAAAAGGTTTAAATTGCCTTTAGTTATCTTTATAGTTCTAATAAAAAGTGATGAGTAGAGCAGAACGTTTGCAGAAATTTCAAACGGCATGCGGTTATACCTTCAAAAATGTTACGTTGTTGGAGGAAGCACTTACTCACGACAGTAATAGAGTAAATAATCGTGATGCACCAACCTATCAACGATTAGAATTTCTCGGCGATAGTGTGCTAAACTTGGTCGTCAGCGAATATCTGTATCGCAATAACGCCAGTTTTACTGAAGGACAGTTAACAACAAAGCGAAGTGAGCTCACCAACGCAAACAAACAAAGTCAAATCGCAGAAAAGCATGCACTGAAAGCTTACATCCTGCTAGGGCAAAGTGTATCGATAGATCAATACCGAGGGCACCATTGTTTTGTCGAATCAGTTATTGGCGCTGTTTATATAGATGGTGGATTGGAAGAAGCACGAAAACTAATTCTCAAATTTTGGGGATTTACAGATGATACCAATACGGCTTCCAGTGCTAGCGCTGGCAATTCCTGTGTACTGTCTTAGTCCGTTCAGTTTACAAATGCAATTTTTCATTCCATAATTAATCCCATTTCACTCATATATTTTATTAGATATAGCTCTTATGCCATGACATTTTGCAAATAAAATTCTGTTTTTGATGCAATGACTACTCAGTTTTTGCATTTTCATAAGAAAAAATATTGGCGAAGTTACTATATAGTATTAGCCAGTTAGCGATCAAACGAACGCAAACAGTTTGATGACTCATCGTCTGCTTTAAAGCACAGAAGCAGAATTACTTTACCACGTTAAACACGAAAAAGGAAAGGGAAAAACAACAATATATTACTGGGTTTTTTCCAGTTGACCTGCACTATTTATAATGTTAGAAAAAAAGGAAATATTATCCTTCTTCTCAATACGATCAGCATCATGAGCAGCGTACTGCGTGTCTATGAGTTTCGTACATCTTTTTTTTTCAGATATTTTATATTTTCAATCAATAACACGAAGGAATGAATCGTACAGAACTTTTGAGAAGATTTCAAACGGCATGCGGTTATACCTTCAAAAATATAACGTTGTTAGAGGAAGCACTTACTCATGACAGTAATAGAGTAAATAACCGTGAAGCACCAACCTATCAACGATTAGAATTTCTCGGCGATAGTGTGTTAAACTTGGTCGTCAGCGAATATCTGTATCGCAATAACACCAGTTTTACTGAAGGACAGTTAACAACAAAGCGAAGTGAGCTCACCGACGCAAACAAACAAAGACAAATTGCAGAAAAGCTTGCGTTGAAAGATTACATATTGTTTGGACAAAGTGTACCGAGAGATCAATTCCGAGGGCACCATTGTTTTGTCGAATCAGTTATTGGAGCTGTCTATATGGACAGTGGATTGGAAGACGCACGAAAACTGATTCGCAGATTTTGGGAATTTACAGATGATGCCAATACGGCTTCCACTGCTGGCGCTGGTAATTGTGTCCTGTCTTAGTCCGTTCAGTTTACAAATGCAATTTTTCATTCCATAACTGATCCCATTTCACTCATATATTTTATTAGATATAGTTCTTATGCCATGACATTTTGCAAATAAAATTCTGTTTTTGATGAAATGAATATTCAGTTTTTACGATATTCGCTCAGTTATCATATTTTAATCAAAATCACGTGAGTAACGCGAATTACAAAAAATTCTATTTAGACTGTTGTTTTATTTTTCAACACCCATCCTTCCCAAACCTTATTATAATGAAACAAAGTCGTATGTGTTCTTTCCAGTCCCTCTTCGATTTGACAATAAATACATAATCCAGACGGTACTAATCCTATATGTGAACCAAATTGAATCACTCGAAAAAACTGTGTTAGATTATTGATAATCAGCGCAGGTATAATTTCGAATTCACATCCTTCACAGTTAATACTAATCATATCAATCATTCCATTTTTGCTTTTCGTTCTTCGGATATTCTCAATCACTTCGACTATCTCAAGGATTTCAACTTGTACAATATTCGATGAATTCTTTGAAGATAGTGGTCGATATAGACTTGTACCAGCATTACCATAATCATTTGGTTCAATTGAAACATTTCTGGCATGGTTACCAAGTCCATAAGGAAAGATTTGTACTTTAGGATTGGATTTGAACATGTTCGAAAGGTTTTTTGCCATAAATGGCAATGGTTCATAACTCATGATCCATGGATTGTGAAGTTTAATAAATTCAACTGTGTCATGACCACGATTTCCTCCTACTTCAATGATGAGTGATGATGAATTGAAGAGATGTTTATGCGCTGTATGTCGTAAACTCTCAACAGACCAAAAGTTCCAGTTTCCTTGTGACGTCAGACATGTTCGATAATTCATTATTTGCGCGTTTGAAATATTTTGCCGTGTTTCGCACGTATAAGATCTATTACTGGCTATCCGCATTGGTTTTGTACTCGTGCGGATTAATAGGAAAGATTTCTTATCTGACTCGAGATAGTACCCATATGTAAACAGGAGGACTAATACTCCAAGAGATAATAATCCCATTATTTTCCATCCGGATGCCATCATTGGATAGTAAATGTCAAAACAATAGAAATTAATGTTGATAGTTTCACCTTTTTTTCTTATTTCAAGCAGTCGGAGAGATTAAAGTACAATGAAAGAAATTTTTACAGCACC